CAGACGGAGATCCGAAACGGCTGTCTTTTTCCGCAGAAACATTAACGTTGCAATAAATTATTCATATGGAGCTTCAAAATAAACTTTGAAACGAGATAATTTTTTTTTAAATATTTTTTTTACTAGTTGTGGTTTAATTTTGTACATTGTGTATTGTATGTAGATCCTTATCACGTACATACGTATTTTGAAGCAATAAACGCTTATGCATAATATGTACTATAATTTATTTTCAGTTGAAACACTTGTAAAATATTATACACAATAATCAAATTGATATTATTTTTAATTATGTTCAAAATGTTGATAGATTTTGTTTCGACTATCTAATATTTTGAAGGACAAAAGCCTACTATTGCTGGCACACAGAATCATCGAAATGTTTTAAATGCATTGTCATTCATGCCCCTCGTTAAGCCGGCTTCCTGCCCGACGTATTTCTGTTAAATAGGTGAGTTTCATCGGTATTGAACTCTCAAAAGGGCTTTAATCTACTCCGGGGCGGCGTCTATTTTGGGCCGTTGTCCATCCATCGGGAGCTTGTGATACGCGGCTATTCCGGGCGAGGCAGGTTTTCGGGGAATGTCAACAAACCGACGGGCATCGGGCACTCATTCAATGAACTCTATGCATGCGACGTCGGTGGCGGACCGGTCGGGTACCTATTCATAAAAATATGCCCCCAGAGGCTCAATGGGCCACTCGCCGTTGCCTCGCGCTCGCTTTTTTCAACGGCGCACAGAGCGTATCACGTATTACTTTTGAATCCCAACTCGCAGACTAAGCGCTCCAAGCGATGATTTACGGATACACGAAACCACCCGATTCGATTTCATTTAAGATCAATACTCACACTCGATGGCGTGGACCGTGACAATATTACGGAATATTTATTTATTTTCTTTAATTTTGTACATTACAAAGGTTGCAAGTTAGTAAGTCGACCTATTAAAAATTAATCATTCATAGACAGTCGTACGATAAATCATAAATACTTTTGAAGCGAGTGAGTTTAAAACAATTTCGGTTTTCACGTGAATTTAGGCCAAGATTACAATAATTAACGCGTTGTTACTACGTACCGTAATTTAGACCGTAAAGCGAAAATTTTCGATGAAATCAGTTCATTACTAAAGATGAATTAAGTATAGTTTCGATATTTTTTTCTAGGTTACCATTATTAATACTAAGCAAATGCAAATTTAGGAAATGTGGTGAATGAAAAGCTTTAAATAAGGATTTAGTTTCGTATAATTTTCTTTTAACAAATGATCAATAGAAAACTGTATAATTAACAATGTAGCGTCTTAACAGATACTTCAAAATTATTAGTGATGTAGGTAATATTTTACATATACTTTGGAATGTTCATATAAACCGTCTCATATGAATCGACACAACATTGACTCCATTATCGACCCTCACAACAATTTGCTCGATGCCTGCCCGGCAGATGACAAATTGGCGATACAACAAAATAAAACGTCAACATCTGAAAATTCCACAGGAATAGGTACATTACGGTCTCGAATAAAACATCGCAACTTGACACCTCCCAGGCAGGCCAGTCACAGCTCACAAACTTTGCTATTTTTTTGGTCTCCCTTTGCAATGCAAACCACAAAGTACATAATATACATGACACATTGTGGAGAGAACTATCTGAATTATGATTATCGAAACATTAGAAATACAAGAAGCGTAAGAAGGCCGAAAGCTTAAGTTTATAGATACATCACAACAGCAGTTAAGGCGTGTAAAAGTTTTTGGTAATCTATTAGCAATAATGTATATAAAGAGATTTGTACATTTGTGGAATGACATTGCTCGGGGATAAATTTTATACACCATCCAATGTTTTACGATTTTTACAAGACAACGAGATTCAATATGAGATTACAAGAAGGGAATAAGATATGCGAGGCCGTGCTTAGCAAGTTTTAAGATGCAACCGTTATTTGTTATTAGGCAACATGAATGCGGTTGATACTCGAGTTGTTTTTAACTAAATAAAGCAGTCAATAAATAAATGTTTATAAATATCTAATAAATACCTAGACGGGCTATATTTACAAGAAGCCTTCTCGTTCTGGGCTCATTCAGCCTTCAAACAAATATAATACAGCTTTATCCCAGTGGGATATCGGGTATAAATTAAAAAGTAAAGCTGCCGGCTTAAGATTGTATTACAAAATAATACTGACACCAGTAAATTACTCTATCCGCGAGATGGAATGTGCGAGCGTGCGCCAAGGCGCTGCGCATAGGAACTCTGCTACTCGCTGCCTCACAAACTTCCAAATTCATCACAATTCTATTCACATAGAACAAAAAGTACTAATAAATACAATAAACATTGATTCACAAGTATCTTAACTATGCACCACCGCAGGCCATGAGAGCTTCATGCCTGCCGTGTACATCCAACTCAACTACTGAGCTTTTGAACATTGCATTACTCCCAATATTAAGTACAGCTGTTTTCATTTACACTTCAAATTTTCACATTAATAAGGAGAGTAATAGCAGTGAAGCTTTGGTAGAGACATATGCCCACTAGACATTTGCTACATTATAAAACAATAACATGCAGCGTCTGCAATGGAACCCAAGGCACCGACAGAAACAACATTCTCCTGTGATGGAACAACTAACACACAACTTCCAATGTGATCCTAATAGGCAATTCAAATTGGACAGATTACAATTGTCTTAGTTGTTCCACCCTGGAAGCCTTTGCTCCCATATTGCACAATACAGGAGCAACAACAATATAACAAAACATTTCTACTTGAAGCGAGTAGCATTAGGTACAATTCCACAAAGGACCGACACATCCAATACACTGAATATGAACAAAATAATACAGCGTACAATTCACATGGGAACATAAATGAGGAGACTGAGAATTTACATCCACACAACGCAACAGCAACTACTAAACAGTTTGGATCTCTATATACAAAAGAAATTCCTTCCAAATAAATTATAAGCTTCGTAAAATAATTATCACATAAATTTTTCTTATCTTCGTTCGCTCCACATAACTTAACACATAAACTCTATCTATATGTACACGAGTAGTCTTGGGGCATGAGTCCGGCACTGGGCACTACTATTGGGGCAGGACGAGGGTCGTGTGGGGCGAGTGGGGCGCGTGGGCGCAGAGCTGCACGCGGCCGCGGGGCGCCGCCACGGCCACTAGCTGCACGGGCGGCGGCGGGCCGCGCTCCTCCGCGAAGGGCGGCGCCTTGGCGCGCCGGTGCAGCCGCACCCACGCGCCGAAGCAGACTAGAATCGCGAGGAACACCGCCACGGTCGCGCCGCCGGCTATCGAGGCCGTCTCCATCATCAGTTGGCGGCTGGTCAGCACGTACGAGTCGTCCAGGTCCTTGAACTCGCAGCGCTGGCCCACGAAGCCGCTGCGGCACTCGCAGTTGTAGATGGGGCTGTCAGAGATGACCACCGTGAAGCACGAGCCGCCGTTGAGGCAGTAGTACTCCGAGTAGTCGGGCTCGCACTTGAAGATGGGGAAGGTGACGTTGAGGCGCGGCTGCGGCTGCGGCTGCGGCGACGGGCGCTGCGGCCGCGCGGGCCTCGCCGGCCGCTTCGAGATTGACGACGAGCACGCGCCCGCCAGCGCCCACGCCGCCGACACCACGGCCCACCACACTACCAACGACTGCATTGTCCACTGCACTGTCCCGACGCCCGGCGCTCGCGGTACGTGCACGATTTTGACATTGGACGGTGACTTAAACGAAATCCGAGAGGCGATGACATGACCGCTTTCGAATTTCGAACTCGAACCCTTCGCTCGCATCCGCGTCGGCGGTCCGCCCAGACATGTTTCCTGTGTCAACTTTTTTTACGTCGACGATCACTCGCTCATGACGGAGGCGCGGTTTCTATGAGCGCCCGAGATATCGCATCGATCCCTCCACGGGCATATCGAAAGTAAAACACACGATGGGAACCTTACACTTGGTTTCTTAGTTTTGTATTATTCACGGAGCACATACACACAATGTCCCGTTCGAAACGAAACACAAAATGGTGCTGAGCGGAGAAGGATCGCACTGCGCTCGGCGTTGTCTATGCGCGACTGACGGAAAGCGTCGACTGCATCTGCCATCTGCCGACGAGAATGAATGCGGTGAACTCGCTATCGCGCGTCTGTGTGCGTGCCCCGTTTCTACACACTTGAACTACTCACAGGGAAGATTTCACCATGTGTGCGTAAAGCTTTTTATTTTGTATGGGACAAAGAGCTCAAAAAAAATTCTTTGGAATACAATTATAACAGGCATTAAGTACTGCCGCCTTTACAATGCAATTTTGAACCTTAACGTTAAATAAAGGGTCCTATTTTTATTCCTACTTCTTTTATGTTTCTTTGATTGAATGAGGTTTTTATTTCCTCATATTTTTTGTTAAGTTTAAAGTAAATAGTTTTTTTTAAGCTAAAAGGTAGGTATTGCCTAATAATATTGTTATATATTATTATATGTGTTATGTGCTCGAAACGTGATTAAAACATTTTAGAAATGATTTTTACTTCACGGTTGGACCTAATGTTATCTAAAATGTTTGCTTATTTTACATCTTTAATTATTTAATAGTTTATAACTATTGCCTTATAAACAAGTTCCATATAACACATATGCAAAAATCTTTAAAATTCATATAATTTATGTCATATTTTTTAGTATTATTATTTACATGTATACATTATTTTTAGTAAATGTTAACCGTACATAAACGATATAAAAATCCTGACACGATGCTACGATTTACGCTATAGTTTGACTTAAAAAAATCGACATTGACAGTTGACAATGACGGTATTTTGATTTTCTGTATATTTTTAATTAGAATGAAGAATAAAGTGAGTGATGTTTTACTCTATAGTGGTAATAACATACAATAATATTTATTAGGATTTCCTTTAAGTTTTATTAATAAAGTTTTAATGAATATTCTATAAACAATCTAAAACTATGTCAGAATCATCGAAGTCCAAGTCTTTAAATTTAAATCCCTCACCTACACTGCAATGTAAAAATCTACATGAATATTTAAAAAGCCGAACTCCGCAGTTTTTGGAAACTTTATATAACTATCCAACGATATGCTTAGCAGTTTATCGGTTTGTATTTTTTTTGTAGTGTATCAATATTATATTCAAAATAGTTAAGGTTAGGTTATTCTTTATTCTATAAAATGTTTATCTAGGTTAAGATCAATATTGTTATTCATGTATTTTACTTTTTTCATTTCAGAGAACTGCCAGAGTTGGCTCGTCACTTTGTTATACGATTGCTGTTTGTAGAGCAGCCAGTGCCACAGGCTGTGGTTGCATCATGGGTGTCCCAAACACATGCCAAGTAGACTCTTGCGTTTATTCATTTTCTTCGAGGTTTAAGTACATGTTTTTTTCTCGCTATAAAATGTTGTTACGTGTATTACAGGGAACAAAGCAAAGCATGTGAGGCACTATCGGAACTATCAGTATGGCAGGAAGCCCCAATACCTGGTGGTCTACCAGGCTGGATACTGGCTCAGTCCTTCAAGAAGAATCTGAAGGTGGCATTGTTAGGAGGGTAAGTTGTTATTCACCATACTAAAACAGGCTGAAATGATGATGATGATGATAATACTTGCATTTTTATCTTACAATTACTTTTACATTTTCAACTTTGCTGATTAGTGGGCGGCCATGGAGTATGTCGTCATCATTAGAACCAGACGGAAAGGCTCGTGACATAGCATTTCTTGATGCCTATGCGCTGGAGAGGTGGGAATGTGTTTTGCACTACATGGTGGGCAGTGCTCAGACCGAGGGCATCAGTGCTGATGCCGTCAGGATCCTCCTTCATGCCGGTTTGATGACCAGGTGAGCTTTAAGTAAATTATATTCGAGCAAAGTGAGATCTATAAAAAGTACATGATGTCTATAATACATTTGCTTTAGAATATACTTTTTTAAAGATATTTTCTTAATAATGCATGAATAAACATGAACCTAAATTATTATTTTTTTCTGAAACAACCTCATAGTGATCGGGTTTTGTGAAATATGTATTTCTTTTAGAGATGCAGAAGATGGATCAGCGGTTATAACAAGAGCTGGCTTTCAATTTCTCCTGCTGAGCACTGCCAAACAGGTAATACAAATGCACTAAACCATCCTAAATTTAATTAGCAGTGCTAAAGATGTATCATGAGACAAAAGAAAAATCTTTGATTTCTATTGTTTTAAATCTAATTTTTGTGTTTACAAGTCTATATCTGTGCTTTAAGTCTACTCTTGATAATTGGAAACTTAAGGGACCAGAGATAAATTTCTAATTGTGAAGTCAAAATAACAAGAGTTTAACCACATTACCACAAGGGGGAGGGACTTGAGTAAATAAGCTTCATCAAAATTCGTCATTGGCATGTACTTTGGTATTTTAGTTTTCATTACCGCTGGATGGATGCTTCAGTGTTTGTGTTCTGCAAATAATTTTTTTTATCAAATTAGGATGTTTGTGTTGGTCAAAATCTTCATGAAATAGTTATAAGAAATAAATTTAATATTCTGATCTCATAGCACATGACTAAAATTCATTTGTTGCTGCCTCTTAACAGTTTAAATTAAAAAGTATTATGCTACCAGATCATTGAGAAGGTTTAATCTTGAGAATATGTAGCTTGAACTGCTTTTTAATAAAATATTGTAATCTTCCATCAGGTGTGGTTGTTTCTGCAGCACTACCTGCATACAGCGGAGAAGAGAAGCTTAAGTGCTGCAGAGTGTCTGGCTTTCCTCTACCAGCTCAGTTTTAGTACATTAGGAAAGGTTGGAATATATCATGGAATATAATAATACACTTACGCTGTTCAATTTTATGGTAAATTTTATATTATTGCATATTATGCAATTGCAAATGTTCTTACTGAATATATTAAATAACTCCCTTTTCGCCTACGGCTCCCGTATGTCCTAAATTTTATATCACATTTAAAAAATCATATTTACATTTTTATTATATGTATAGATATATAGAAGTATAAAATAGATATTATATCTGCTATATTTATGCAGCCACTAAACCTAATGCTTGGGTTCTTTGAGTAATGAATACATACTCCATTATAGAAGTTGACAAGATTTATACAAATTAAACACACATCTGTGCAATTGTATTATTGTATACACTGAGGGTGGTAGGACCACGCAGCAGCCTCGGCTAGCAGGCTCGTCCGGGTAAGTACCACAACCACACAGAAAACTGGCGTACAGTGGAAGTATAATACTTTCGCGTTTCATCTGGTGAGTAAAGTAGCTGGAGCCCTATTCCCAAAAAGGTTGTCAACGCATTTGGAACCCTCGGGTGTAGCAGATGTCCATGGGCGGCGGTATTCACTTAACATCAGGTGAACCGTCTGCTTGTTTGGCAACTTTTCACATAAAAAAAATAAAACTATCTATATAGGGGTTGTATAAATTTTTTTCAAAAACAATTTTTCAGGATTACAGCACAGAGGGTATGAGCAACAACATGTTGGTGTTTCTGCAGCACTTGAGGGAGTTTGGTTTGGTTTACCAAAGAAAGGTAAGTGTACAAATGGTTATAGGTTAATATATTGTGGTTCATGTTTGTGACAGTAAACGCTGATGCTTTCATTTTTTTATTAATTTGAATCATAAGCAATAATTCAATTAGTACTTAATTTAGTCAATGAAGTATTGTAATCTAAATCACAAGTAGAGCATCTTAAAGAACATTTAAATAAAACAGTGCAATGTTTAATCTTTTAAACAGCATTCTTATGTTATTGGATATTATATATGAGTTAGAAAAATATTTGTCTGGTCTATATGTGTAGTGATTGAAGGGTAACCCCCTTAGGTAGTGAGTCCCAAGACCACTGCAAACTAGAATGATATATTATAGTCTAACTGTAGGATTTTAGATTTCCTAGAACTTGATATAAAACACTCTTGATATAAGTTAAAAAATGTATTGTCCGAAAATTAATAAACAACTTGATAATGATAAATGAGAACGCGTGACATGCTTGATGACTGACAGCGAACTTCGAATTTAAGGCCGATTATTTTAGAACACAACAAAAATGATGAGGCGTGCAATTGACGCCGTTTCGTAATAATTATGTCGAGCGTAGCTCGTACACTAACATTAAGCTTTTTTAAGGACGCTTTACGTGCATAAATTTCAGGTGAATTTTGCAAATCAAGTAGTAGTGTTACATTGGGCCGCGTTTCGCAGCGGAAGGCGGGGCGCTTCTACCCCACGCGGTTGGCCCTGAACATGACGTGCGTGCGCGAGGGGCCGGGCGGCGCGGGGGGCGCGGGGGGCGCGGGGGGCGGGCACCTGGCGCTCGGAGGGGCGGGGGAGGGGCCGCCGCAGCAGCGCGGCTACATCATCGTCGAGACCAACTACAGGGTGTACGCTTACACGCAGACCAGTCTGCAGGTGGCGCTGCTTGGCCTGTTCACCGAGCTGCTTTACAGGTTTGAAATGTCTTCTTTCGTCCTGTCTCATTACAGATATTTTTATGCAAATATAACTATTTTTACATAAACTCATATAAAATTCTTATTAATAATTGTAGTTGTTTAAGAGTTAATTTTTTTTAATTGATCATTTTTATGTATTGCAAAATTTTGTGGTCACAATTCTTGCATGCGTCTTAGTGGCTTTTAATTAAAATATTTTTTGTGAACAAGAACATGACATGATTTTGAATAGGTTGGCCATTTATATGAGATCTAATGGATACATTCATATCCAACAAGGTTGCAGGTTTGCACCAATATTTGGGAAAACCCAAAAATCTGCTAGTTCAACAAAAAATCTAAAATATTACATTATAAGTTATTGTTTAAACACATTGTCAATGACTTATGGCCCTAAGTCCATATATGTTACTTACTTTTGAGTATATTTTGGAGTTCAAACTAAGTCCACATAGCTTACAATTTCAGGAAACATTAAATAATAAAATTTTGTTCAAAAACTTTATTGAAATGTATTCAAATAAAAAGTCAATTAATGTGATGCAATGGTAATGATCATGAAGTTCTAATTATGTAATAACTTTTGTTTTATAATTGTTTTATGTGTATTGTAATAATTTATATTTTTTTTATGTATCTTTTGTTTTTCACAAAAGAGTGAGTAAACTGCGAAGAAATCAAGTATCAAATACAACTAGTGTGCTTTATGTAAATAGCAACATTATTTTTATTTTATTGAGAAATATTTGTAACTTTTTTTGTTGTTTTATATGTATATCACATAAATGTTTAACTTACAGCCTTGAACGGATTTGTAATATAAAGTTAAAAATATAACTGAGAACAGTTATATGTATATATATTATTATTGTATGTAAATTTGAGAACTGTATGGCTCAGGTTCCCAAATCTGGTGGTCGGGGTGCTGACGCGTGACTCCGTTCGCCAGGCGCTTCGCGGAGGGATCACCGCAGACCAGATCATACATTACTTGGAGCAACATGCCCATCCTCAGGTACTTTTGTGGTGGAGACATGTCCTTAACGGCAAAGTTAAAACTCCTCCTCATTTTTTTAAACAAAAGGTTTGGGTTTTATGTTATTACATTACAAAGTTGCGTTTAATTTCGCCAGATTCCGCTAGTTTTCGGCAAAGTAACGCGAGATAGTGATGTCAATGACCATGTGACCTAAAAGATCCCGTGTTCTAAGGACGTTTTCCGTACATAAATAATCAATGGCCATGTGGCACGGCCTGAGTGTGACGTCACGCGGCAGATGGCGAGCGGCGGGGGCGGCGGGGGCGGCGGGGGCGTGGCCGGCACGGTGCGCGACCAGGTGCGCCTGTGGGAGGCGGAGCGCAACCGCTTCACGTACACGGAGGGCGTGGTGTACAACCAGTTCCTGTCGGCGGCGGACTTCGCGCTGCTGCGCGACTACGCGCGCGCCCAGGGCGTGCTCACGTGGAGCAGCGAGCGCACGCGCACCGCGCTCGTCACGCGCCACGGCCACGACCTGGTGCGCCGCTTCTGGAAGAAGCACTCCAAGCCCTCATAGGGTATTGGCGGCTATATTGCCACTGCTACGGCTGTAGCAATAACATTCTTGAACTGCATCAGTACAGACTCCGGCAAACATAGGCAGCAGTGATAGTTAGTAAGGCCTTCCCCAAGCAACTCAATCGCCGAACCAAAACGTAATTCACACTTCTACTTTACCAAAACGCTTACTTTTGCCATTTACTACCACTGTACTGCCAAACCTACAAACAGCTCTGCGTCAACTCATTCAACAAAAGAAATGCAATGTATTGATGCTTCTACATTATCGACAACTATATAAACAAGGTCCCTATAATGTCATCAGTACAGACTCATGTGCAAACTAGTGCAACAAAACAATAGTTGATTAGAGTACTTGTTTCTTAAAGTAGATTTATTTATTTTTCTAACTAGAGTTTGTCAACAGTAAAATATATAGGTTTCATTCAATTTTTTTGTAATGAATTTAATTTGTTGATGCTTTGAGATTCATCCTTTCTAATTTTTGTCAAATTTTAAGTGATATTTATCAACTTAAAATTAGTATCTGTTGAAAATCAGGGTTATCCCTGATAATAGTTTCTTGAATAATATGAAACATTTTATAAAAAATGATGATAAATATAATTCACCTTTATTTTGTAATGTAATAAACAAAATGTACTTTAAAAAGAATATTTTTTTGGGTTGCCTATGTAATTTGTCCATTTATTCCACAGCCTTTTAGGAAACATGTTACTTTATATTGCTCAATTGAGATCAAACCAGCTAAGGAAAATGTTGTTTAATGGGATTTGACCCGATAATAAACTTGTTAACTACTTTAATCAAGTTTCATTGAATGAATGCTAATGGCTCAAATTGTAAATATGTCTGTAAATAAACGATTTTATATGAACTCTTTTTTTATTCATAAATTCTTTGAAATATATACCTATTTTTGTAAATCCTAACATACAATTAGTCTTAAAATTAAAAATCGTCTTTCTTTATTTAAATTCAAGGTTTAGGGTCAAGAGAAAGCAAATTTATCTGATATCAAAGTAATAGGTAATAATAATTTGGTTCAGTTGGATACAGATTTTTATTGTTTTCTTGGGAATGTAATCAAGAGAATCTGTTAACATTTAGAAATGATTATTTTTATTTTTCTGATTTATAAGCTCTCAATCACATCCTGATATAATCACAGAAAGTTAAAGTCCACCTTTTGTTACCTTTTTTTATTTAATGTTAACAAATAGCTTAAACAATAAACATTAAAGTCACTTATGCCTGTTTTCACCATCGATCCCTAATTTTCAGGGACACGTAAAAAAAATTGAAAAGCTTTTTGATCACTGCTTGAGCGGTGCCTTGAAAGATAAAATAAGGGCTCAATGTTCGGTTTGGCCTTTACGGAATAGTAGCCGATCGACTGCCTCTAACGGTAGGGGGACGGTGGGGGTAATGATATATCGACAGTGGTCCATCGGCTGTCTCTACCGTCAGGTGCGTTAGTGAATACCGATCGGCTGTCTCTTTCTACCGTAGGCTGCGTTAGTGAATAGTGTCCGAACGGCGGGTGGTCACTCCTCGCGCGGGCCCTGCTGGGGGCGGAGCGCCCTGGGCGGCGCCAGCGCGGCGTGCAGCCTGGCCACCGCCCCGCCGACCGTCCGCTCCAGCGCCGCGTCCGCGCTGCAACGCGCCTCCTGCAACATTGCTCCGATCAATCTACATCCTGTCCCTGAGATAATCAACACTATGTGGTGAAACACTAATTTTACAGGAGAGACTAAAATGCTTCAGCGGATCCTTACATATTTTATTAATTAGGCGAAGGACTTAATGCTTTGTACTATTGTGCAGAATTTGTTCTTTTTGTTGGTGTAAGAAAAATAATTTTGAAAAATGTGCAATTACTATAGTATGCCTCTGAGAAATCTATTGTATGCATCTGACATTATTCTTTCACTTTTCAAATACACGACAAAAGTAGACACGATCAGTTTCGAAGTTGTACTTCTTTTGGTCCGTTCTTTTAATGTCTTTTTTTTCACGTACAAAGAGTACTGGCACACAGGATAACTTCCTATGTTCGTTCATAAATTGTCAAGAAATTTGCCGTCGCTTTGAAGTTATAAGTTCCGATTCGCCCAGACGTTCTGACTATTAAGCTAGGCGGTCTATATAATCACGACGATTTTTATGTGAGGCGGTTAATACAACGAGTTGGCGTTGGCGACATTCTCGCATAAAAAGTTAAATCAAAATAGAAAATACCTTACCAAAGTGAGAAGGTCGATGTCGACTTTTTTATCGTTCACCGTAACGTACAGTTTGTCTCCTTTAAACATCTTTGGCACGTTATCCTCCCCGAACATCTCTTGTAGCATTTCTATCGCGCACTCCTTTAAAGAGAACATAAAAATTTCAAAACAATACAATTATATAAAACATTTGTTTTTTATTTAATTTGCGGGGTTCTCCAAGGTTATGGTCCACATCTATAATCTGTTAAGAAAATGAGGGTGCAAGGGTTGTTTCAGGGGAAACTGTTGTCTTGTTATTACATTTATATTGACAAGATAAAGTTTGATCACTCAAAACATTGCTTTTTATTGAACGAATACGGATTTATCACATTTATTTCTTGACTGTAGTGAAACCTAAAAAGAAGGTGTTTGGTATACATGTATGTCTGTGCCTGTGTTCTTTGGTTGGTACCAGTCGATCGTTTTCGTCGGTCAATTGTTTGTATGCTGGAAAGGATATAACAGTGGATTCGCCAAGCATTGCTTTAAATGCTAAAAGAACAATGTAGATAAAAGACTAAGATTTTCGTCGGTGTGGCAATCAGCCATTTAGCTCAGTGGTTAGAGCGTCAGGCCGCGAATGCCGAATTGAATGATACGTCGTCAAAAAGTAATGCTCCCGCCGCAGCGGGGTGTTTGGTGATTCGGTTCGGATGGAGGTATGTGGGCAGACCTTGAAGAGCATGCGGTCCAGCTTGGGCGCGAGGGGCGGCGCCCTGGGCGCGGGCAGCGCGGCCGCCGCCAGCACGCCGGCCGCCGCCGCGTCCGCGAACATGTCCGTCACCGGCTGCGCCTGCCACTGCGCACACGATTCTTCACGCACCCTAACTACACTCGAGCAACGGACCCTTGGCTCTTAGCGACGGACTATAATCACCACTTCGAAGTCAATCTCGGAATTACTTTATTCAAGGATTACACTCACTAGGCCATTATTGCAACAGCGAAAACTGTTAGGTGGTTGTACCAAGTATTAAAGGGGGTGTCAAAACATATCGATAAGGAACCTCTAGTGTGACGACGGGCGGTTCGACGAGCATGTCGACGCAGCCGTAGAGGCGCCAGCGCGTGTCGCTGAGGAACTCCACGTTGCCGGCCAGCTGCAGCATGGCGTGCCGCAGCAGCGCCGGCGCGCCCGCGAAGTGGATCGACTGCCGCTGCGTCAGCTCCGACTGCGTCAGCTCCGTGTACTCTGCGCCGCAGGACACGTTTAGCAGGCAACAGCGGCGGAACGAGACACGCGCCTTGGGGCACACTCACGACGTTTATTACATTTTATGTTGGTAAATGTTCCAACAATCAATGCGGCCTCGAAATATCTGTTTCAATCTTCCCTTCTAAAACATTGCCCCCTTACTGAAGGATAGTAGCAGTATTAGGATATGAGTCACACTAACAGTGGTCTCGTGTGAACGGAGCGAGAAACGAGCCTTGAGGCACCCATTCTACGACACCCTTCTTACGACATTAAGGACTCCAAGATAATACAAGAACTTCCAAATAAATTATATAACTGTTTCATTGAATAATCGCTATTTTCTGAATAATACAAAATTTGTTGAACACACAAAAATTTACAATGAAAAACTTTCAACCTTTATAAGAACATTACTCGAAACTATCTTTATTTCCGTTGAGTGTGTTACATAGAGGCAATATCTTACTTACTGGCGAAAACGAGTAAGGGATAAAAAGCTACTCACTGTTGAGGTCAGCGGGTGCCATTATGTGGTAGTTGAAGTTGCGCTTGACCAGGATACCTTGCAGCAGGCTGCCCGGCAAAGGTTCCTCCATGGCCAGGGACCCCACCACCTATCCGCACAAATCAGACGCTCTCCATCAACCAAACTTACTGCCGCTTTGAATATGCGACAGAGAGAGGAGAAAGAGTGGCGGGAGAAGGGCTTTTTTTTTTAAAAAAAAGCGCAACTGTTGAGTTTCTCGCTGATCTTCCCACCGGAAAATGCTTACCGAACCCGTGGTGACTTACTTACGAACTCTGTTTATTTAACGAGTTTTTATGTAAAATTCGACGATTCATAAGACCTTCTAGCGCAAGGTTTATAGCGAGTTAGGAGAGGCGGAAGAGGTGGGAGAGGCGAGAGAGGCGGAAGAGGCATTGGCGGTCCACCTTGGCGGTCTTGTCGCCGCGGAAGGCGAGCGCCAGCTGCTGCGTGTTGCGCGGCGTGTGCACCTGCAGCCGGCCGCGGTGCTCGCGCTGCAGCGCCGCGCGCAGCCGCGACATCTCGTTCTGCTCGCCGTGCACCAGCACCTGCCGAACACTCGACGATCATGTCCCCACTATTAACAACATATTCGATATTCAATGTTTCGTATCGATATATCGGATCCAAATATATCGGCTGAAAATATCGATATATAAAATCGTAAATATGGACTTTTTTCGACATCCCTATCCGGAAGAGGCACCGCTCAGCCGCTGAACTGTCCCGGATTATCATTCTCAATCTCCTCACCACGTGCGGCGGCTTCAGGATGTTTATGAACTCCGACGTCTGCTGGTAGTCGGTGTGGGCGGAGAAGGAGATGTAGTCGACGGACATCTTCAGCGGCAGCTTCTGGCCCGACATCGACGTGATCTCCTCGGGCTCGGAGAGGATCGTCTTCGCCAGAGTGCCCTCAACGCAATAGCCTAAGAACGGAACATTCTATTAAAAGCGACATTTCATCTCGGCCGATTGATAAAAAACCATACGTCTGTCTTCTGTGATCATGAAACTTCACAGAAGTTGGTACGTGGTTCTCGAACAGAACGAACTTCTCTTACATTCATACGAAAAATGAGAGGATGATGATCCTTCTTATAAAATAAACAGAGCTTAAAAATATTTAACACTCTAAGCCTGCCCTTAAATATATATTTATGGGTTCTAACATCAAAACGTTTGCTCCATAAGTTCCCCTTGTAATTGTCCCGTACACTTCAGATGGACAACTCTGCAACAGTTATTCCATTGGGAGCATTAATAAGACCTGTTTACCGGCCTCCAATTAAAGTCACGTTTATTAGCAAGAAGTACACGACAAAACCCAAATCGCACTAAACAAAGATTGCCGTATCGCAGCATGCAAGCGATTGGGTTCGTCATCACCTGCAATGATGACGCCGTTCTTGGGGTCGGTGCACCAGGACTCGAAGAGCTCCCGGGAGAGGCCCGACTGCATCATGCCCGGCGAGGCCATGATCACGCAGGGCCCGATGTCCTCGAAGTGGTCGATGCCCTAAGAGCGCGGTCTGAGGTCAGGGTCGACGGCGTGCGATAATAGTGCTTCAATAAATTCGTTAACGGTCATTTTCAATGACCTATCTATCTGTAGATTTGGTTACTGGAGATAGAATTTTGATGTGTGTATTATGGAGCTAATGTCAAACACCCATCGCTAGTAACCAAACCTATATACATCGACAGAATATCACCGCAAGTCCTCGATTCGAGTTTTGGGCAGCAAAAGAAACGGATGAAAGAAGAATGCGTGTGGCTGAGATGCGAATGTGTAGTACTAGAATCGATGGGATCCGGAGCGAGTATATTATAAAAAGGATGTGACTGAGAGGAGAGTATGTTGACATGATATGGCTAGGTTGTGAAAAGGGATGAAATTCATATGAACTCACACTTCACACAATCTTCTCATCTCGGTAAATAATTGTAATTATTTACTGAGATGAGATCACATTAATTATTAAAGTGTTATAGCAATATACCGAATCCGGAATATAGGTACCGGATCCGGTAAACGCTTAATGATACCCGATAAGCCGAATTACCGGATACGTTTTTCCCGACTGCAATCCCTACTCACTGGCCGTAGTCGAAGTTAGTTACCAGAAGGGACCGTAACTCCTTAATCATAACAAAAACATACAAATATATACGACAACGGATATAAGGTCAAAACGACAAACAATCAAACAAGCGTTCGTAAGGAATTATGATTGATTTCATCCGTCAATTTACTATGAAGGCCAAGTTACGAAATGGACTCCATTCCGTTCTAGCAAACGTGTTTCAATGTTTTAGTGGTACCGTAATTATATTTTATGTAGATTTTTTAGAGAAAAATTATTGACTTAACATAAGAAATATTTCATATCTCAAACATTCATGTTCACATAAGTTATGTTACTAGCGCGTATTTATTTTGTGAGTGCAATGGACAGATGCGTGTAACGGAATACATATCATTACACATTGTAATTTATATGTATTTGGTGCCGGTCAGTTAGAAATCGGAATCTTGGTATTTGTATTTGTCTGTCTTATTTAACCTATGCAACCAATAAGTGAGTGCTAAATAGAAAAAAAATACTGTAATTGCATTATCTTGTGACGGCGGAGTCATAGTCCTTTGTTATGAGTCAATATTATTCAATTAATCGCGCTCTGAAATGTTATTGATTCATAATTAAAACAACCGCATATAGTAAGTATTTGTAAATCAGAAACACGAAACTGTTGCAATTTGCAAGACACTCTTGAATATTTTTAATTCATTACAATTTTCTTCGACTACATATATTTTTTTTATCATATTGTCACTGGTATCTTGTATCTTGTATTAACTGATGTTTTTGCTTTCAGTCCCGAGACTATTAAAGCTTCATCTGACGCAGAACCGGTGGGCTGCTAGAACCCACGGTTTGGGCCCTCCGCTGTGGGTAGGGCCACGCATGTGATCATGCGTGCGTTTAAGTATGGTGTGTCATCTAAGGGCCATCGAGGTCGCGGTTCGGACCGAAACCCCGATGGCCGTCGACTGTGCATTAGCTAATCGGTGGCTGGGAGCGGTGAGAACCGCCCCGGAACGCGGGTGTACCTTGTGTACGCGTTGTGTTGGTCTCGCCGTGCTCGGAGGCGAGGGCGAACTAATGTGTTTGTTGTTGCACTAACTGTGGGTGTAGTGTTGTCCGGCGGGACCCAAGGCGGTGGGTCCGCCGTGTCTAAGTCCCCTTCCTCGACCGGGTCGATGAGGACGTTTCGCGGGCGATGCTTTGTCACTGGTCGGCAAACGTTCAATCAACGATGCATTTTTGTCAAGTTTTAAAGAATGTTAAAGTGTATTAACGATAAAAGAGATGTGAGATGAGATGTGTCAATTTGATGTATTAATTTCAAATATAACTGTTAATAATGAAGTTTAGCAATATAAATGACGCATATCCATAGTATATGTTTAAAAATTGTTAATAATATGAGATAGCAGTCTATATAATTGAAATCTAATTACACCAATTGGTGTGTCTCAATTTCGGTGCGCTAGTGTCATATATATATGTGTGTACTAGCTACTGCCGGCGACTACGTCTGCGTGGAATAGGCTGAAGGTGTAACATTAAGACAGAAAGACGTATGTATATAAATTATAGCCCATGTCTTATTCTGATGTATAAGCTATATTATTGTAAAGTTTCTTTAAAATCCATTCAGTAGTATTTGCGTGAAAGAGTAACAAACGTCCATTCATACATAAAAACTTTCGTGTTTATATTATTAGTAAGGATTCATTGCAGATAAACTATATAAAGGAATGCTTCCTGAGGCGGTGAAGCAGCGTGTAATACGTTGGCTGGAACGTAACAGGGAGCTGGTGGTTTTGGTGTTCTGCCTGCCCGCCAGCTTCCTGTTCGCCGCGCTGCTCAAGGCCAGGTCTTCGCTGAGCAGGCTCTGTGCCAGGCACGACCACGACGAGGCGGTTGGGGAAATCCAACGGAGGGTAATGTCGCTAAACCTTTCTTTATCGTCACTCGTTTGTATTTTGAATTATTTAATTAATTGCCATGCAGACAATAATTTGTTAGATTTACGACCGATTTCAATATTCTACCTACGGATTGATTAGGTTTTAGATTAGGTGAGCTAATGACAAATACCTTAATAGCTAGTAACCAAATGTATATATATGTTAAACGAATTACTATATCCGTCTTTGGTAAACTTATAAATGTGCAAGTCAATATCCGAAAGTTTAGACATAATAATGAAAAGCATTGCAGATTTCCTTTTATTCACGTGAACACTTCTCCATTTAAGGAAAAAACAAGATCTCATGTCACACTTCTTTCGTTTTTCTTTAAGTCGTTATCTCTTTAATTAGATTTATTCAATCACCGCTATCTTTATCAATATCTAAGCATTTAGAATTAGTTAATTTACTTCTAACAGAAAATAGCGTAGAAAAACCCCACCTATAAACCCCTTATCGGAGATAGATAATTATCTCTTCTAACAGTTTATCACTCATCGTCGAAAAACCCAAACTGTAAACCCCTTACAAGAGATAGATATCTCTTCTAACAGTTTATCACTCATCGTCGAAAAACCCCAACTGTAAACCCCTTACAGGAGATAGATATCTCTTCTAACAGTTTGTCACTCGGCGTCTAAAAACCCCAACTGTAAACACCTTACAAGAGATAGATATCTCTTCTAACAGTTTATCACTCATCGTCGAAAAACCCAAACTGTAAACCCGTTACAGGAGATGGACATCTCTGTTAACAGTTTGTCACTCATCGTCGAAAAACCCCAACTGTAAACCGCAGGTCCAGGAGTGGAACAAATTGCCGGCGCGGGAGCGACGCCTCCTCTGCACGTCCCGACCGAACTGGCTCTCGCTGTCCACGAAATTCTTTCAGAAGCACCTGCACCATCGGGTGCCGGTGCCGCTGTACGGAATCCTCGATCTGGACGAGAGCTCCATGCTGGTGAGGGTGGAGCCGATGGTGACGGTCGGGGACATAACCGACTACCTCATACCGAAGGGCTACTCCCTGGCCGTGACAATAGAGTTGGTGGACGCCACTTTGGGGGGTGAGTTCTTGTCCTGTTTTTAGACCCCTATTGTGGTAGGACATCGTTCGGTGTTGCAATGTTTAACATACATTCTCTTCATAATATTTAAAGAAAATAAATCGCACCTTTAGAATTAAAGGGACCTAATTATGAAAATCATGATTTTGGCTTCATGTCAAGAAACGACCTAAAACAACCACCTTTTTCGAATCCTATTAAAACATGGCCCGAATTTAGAAAGCTACATAACGTTCACTTCCCCCAATTAGCGCGTTTTTTCATAAGTTCCACAAATCCTTATTTTACGTTTCCGAAAAATTGATATTTTTAAATAGGTCACTATAATTAATTCTAAAGGTGCGAAATATCCAGAAACGTCTGCGTGGGGCGAAAGAAAATTTTTGAAGACATACGTTTTGGCGCCAAAATCAGCCTTTAATTCTTTTACGATTACTAATATGGTCAATGACGCTCGTGCAATAAAGACATGGCATATAGCATTCGTAAATCTGTCCAGCCGTTAACTAGTTACAAAGATTCACAGGGACGGGCACACAAACATAATTACCTAACCTTCTTTTTTACCCCGCAATCGGGTAAAATGCCAACGTATAGATGAACCCATCTTGACTGCTGCATAAAGCATAGTAACTATGATAATGGAGCATCTAATCTACCTACAATCAATGGTCTAAGAAGTTCTGGAATCTTACAGATTACATTTACAATCGATAAGGACCGAACTCTGTCCATTCGTTTCCAGGGCTAGCTTTGGGCGCGGGAATGTCGACGCACTCGCACAAGGCCGGCCTGTACCACGAGACCATCACCAGCTACGAGGTGGTGCTGAGCGACGGCACCTTGGTAACGGCCACGGAGGACAATGAGCATGCGGATCTGTTCAGGGCTCTGCCCTGCTCCCACGGCAGCTTAGGCCTCCTCATCGCCCTGACCTTGAGGATCGTCAAGGTCAAGCCGTACGTCAAACTCACGTATATACCGGTATCAGGGCAGAAGGAGTACTGCAACATGCTGAGGGAGCTATCCGGGGCGAACGAGGCAACACCTGCCTCACACACAGACTTCTTAGAGGGCACGATCTTCAGCGAGGAACGGGCCGTCATCATGGCCGGCGATTACTCGGAATTCGATCCGAGGATCCGGCTCAACCACTGCGCCAAGTGGTACAAGCCGTGGTTCTACAAGCACATCGAGTCTGTGCTGTCGATTGGGGCGATAACGGAGCTGATGCCGTTGAGGGACTACTTGCTGCGCCACAACCGGCCGATATTCTGGGTCCTCGAGGACGTGCTATCGTTCGGCAACGAGCCGTGGTTCAGGGCACTCTTCGGCTGGCTGCTGCCACCGAAGCCCGCCTTCCTCAAGTTCACCACCACGCGGGGCGTCCGCGAGTACACGTTCACTAAACAGGTGTTCCAGGACATAGTGCTGCCCATCGCCGAGCTGGAGAGCCAGGTGCGAGTGGCGAGCGGGCTGTTCGACAAGTTCCCGCTGCTGGTCTACCCGTGCAGGATAATAGACCGCGGTCGATCTACCGGCCAGCTGAGGCGGCCGCACCGCAGGTATCTGGTGCCGGGAACGGACTACGCGATGTACAACGACCTAGGAATCTACGGGGTCCCGGGAGCGGTCAAGAAGGGTAGAAGATACGACCCCGTGGCCAGCATGAGGGGGATGGAGCGGTACGCGAGCCAAGTGGGCGGCTTCTCGTTCCTGTACGCGGACATATTCATGACCAGGGAGGAGTTCGGCCAGATGTTCGACCTGGACCTGTACGAGGAGGTGAGGAGGAGGTACAAGGCCGAGGGGGCTTTCCCGCATTTGTACGACAAGGTCAAGCCGGAGATAGACGTGTTCGCTATAGGAGATGAGTGCGGCACAAGATTGACGTAATGTTTTGCCAAGTTTTTTGTAAAGATAATCACAAATCGTTATTATGTTGCGTTTATTATGTAGATTTATCTCTCTTAAGTATTATCACTATTAAATTAAACTATATTTACGAATTAATCGCGTTTATGTTTAAATTTTATTTCACGACATTTTGAAACCTTTACAACGTTCATTGTCACGGGACACACTGAGGATTTGGACGTCTGAATGTCATAGTTAACTTAATAATATGATCCCAAGATGATGATCCCTTTACCTCGCGATTTGCTTAAGTGCTTAGTGTCAAGTAGCAGATGACGAGCCTGTCATCGTACATCACACGAATTCGAGCGAGCAAAACTCGCAAATACGGCGAACTCAGTCATCGCTGTATATTATAACACACGACAAAACATACTAGTAATGTTACAATGAATGAGCAAGAATAAAAAGTGCTTTATGGATGCAAACAAATTTTTACTATTGAAATTTTCGGATTTAAAAAATAACAATAACGAAGTAAAAATTGGCATTAAAATATTGTGAAAATAAGCATGTATCTTTCATTTAAACAAAAAGTCAATAGGTGACGCGATCATACAATCTTTTTTTCTTTTTTTTTAATTATTGCAAAAATATGCCGGTTTCCTCATGATAATTTTAAGTGCTGTCTTATCACGTTAAGGAAATTAACGTGATAAGACAGCACTTAAAATTAACAATATCATGGGCACTGCCACCGGGGATCGAACTCGGGTTGCTCGAGTATATTGAATTCAAAGCGAGCGTCCGGACACTGAGTTATCACGATATTGATATTAATTTTATGATGCTCACTAATGCCCGGTTCCTACATTCATCGAACGGCAGTTACATAGCTTAGTAACTTTCATAACAAGTTGTAGATTAAAGGAAGGCTAGTAACTAAGTTTCCGTAGGTAATGCAACGGCTCGTAAGTGCACGCTTCTAATCATAAGCGCATATTGGCTAAATAAAGAACGGCTCTACCTCGGGGTGGGGGATCCAGTGGTGGGTTGTTGAACGGACCCACCTCGAGGTAGGAGGTCCAGCGGTGGGTTGTTGAATGGACCCACCTTGAGGTGGGGGATCCAGTCGCGGGTTGTTCAGCGGACCCACCTCGAGGTCGGAGATCCAGTGGTGGGTTGTTCAATGGAGCCACCTCGAGGTAGGAGGTCCAGCGGCGGGCTGTTGAACGGACCCACCTTGAGGTTGGAGATGTGGCGGAAGATGAAGGGGTTGTTGACGGCGATCTGTCGGCGGATGCGGTCGTTCATCGCGTTCACGTACGTCTGGTAGACCGCCATGCACTTCTTGGCCAGCGAGGACGCGTAGTAGATGGGGATGTCCTGCAGCTCCGGGTGCAGCGACCAGTACTCGTCTGCCTCGCGACAGGAGATGCTAATCATTATACTCTTAACAACATTCTATAGTCCCAAACGCTTGCATTATGGGTACCGGATACGTGAAGATAATTTTCTTTTGAGAAAAACACTATATTCCTCACACAATATTTTTCCAGTGGTCGGGATCGAACCCACATCCTCAGGTACTCCACCCACTACGCCAATCGGGTCGTCGATGGACATGTTTCAACACAGGATCGAACCCACAACTACCACGACGCCCATCAGGTCGAGGACTTTAGAGGTTGGCAAGCGAGGAAGTTCACTTGCAAATCGTCTATGTCAGGATAATTTTATCCCAAAGTAAGGGCAATGTGTTTTTTTTTTCAAAGAAAAAAGTCGCCTATGTTGCCAACCTTTAAAAATATCACGCCAGTCTTCTGGGATGCTGTGGTACTTCTCCGACGAGCCTGCTCTTTCTTGCAATAGTTGAAGCTGCCACGGTAGAAAGGACAACAGCAGGATATGAGGACACACTTAAGTTTGGTAACGCGATGTTCTGCGTTTCGGATCATGTTTTTTTTTATGTGAGTTGGCAAACGTGCTGGTGGTTCACCTGATGTTAAGCGATAACCGCCGCTACATACGTCGTCACATTTTAATGAAGTGAGCCCCTACTACCTCACCCACTGGATGAAATGTAAAAGTGTAACACTTCCATTTCACGCGGGTCTTCTGTGAGATCGTGGTACTACACCGGTGGGACCTGGACATTGTCGCGCTGTTGCGGCGAGATTTCTGATTCGAAACTCGATATCAGACGCCCACACTAATCTTTGCCACCAGCGCGAATAAAGATATGAACTGAGCAGAGCTCTGTGGCCCTTCCCAGAATGAGAAGGAGCTCCTGTTCGCCTGAAAACCTGATGGCGGTGAGTGTCGGTGAGGCTCTTTCAGGTGGACATGAATACATTACATAAATGTTTCGTTATATTTGTCAAATCATGTATATATGCCTCGCAGAGTTTCTTTCGCCGGTTTCTTCTGAGGTCAGTGGCTTTTTCCAGAAGCAGTGTGTTTTTTGACAAACAATAAGTAGGTGTAATGCTTCTATGCGGAATAAAGATATTTGAGTTTGAATTAGTCGGTGAGTGTCGGTGAGTGTCGGTGAGTGGTAGCGTGCCGTGGCGAGCGGTGGCAAGTGTGGCGAAGGGCTGAGTGCGCACTCAGGATGAGCAGCGGATCCTGGGCGCGTGGAAACCTGATGTCGGTGACGAGTGTGGTGAGTGGGTGTGGGTGTGGGTGTGCCGTCGTACGCACCCAGGACGAGCAGCAGCTCCTGGGCGCGTGGAAACCTGATGTCGGTGACGAGTGTGGTGAGTGGGTGTGGGTGTGGGTATGCCGTCGTACGCACTCAGGATGAGCAGCAGCTCCTGGGCGCGTGGAAACCTGATGTCGGTGACGAGTGTGGTGAGTGGTGTGTGGGTGTGGGTGTGCCGCCGTACGCACCCAGGATGAGCAGCAGCTCCTGGGCGCGTGGAAACCTGATGTCGGTGACGAGTGTGGTGAGTGGGTGTGGGTGTGGGTGTGCCGCCGTACGCACCCAGGATGAGCAGCAGCTCCTGGGCGCGTGGAAACCTGATGTCGGTGACGAGTGTGGTGAGTGGGTGTGGGTGTGGGTGTGCCGCCGTACGCACCCAGGATGAGCAGCAGCTCCTGGGCGCGTGGAAACCTGATGTCGGTGACGAGTGTGGTGAGTGGGTGTGGGTGTGGGTGTGCCGTCGTACGCACCCAGGATGAGCAGCAGCTCCTGGGCGCGTGGAAACCTGATGTCGGTGACGAGTGTGGTGGGCGCGTGAAACCTGATGTGACGTGGGTGTGGGTGTGGGTGTGCCGCCGTACGCACCCAGGATGAGCAGCAGCTCCTGGGCGCGTGGAAACCTGATGTCGGTGACGAGTGTGGTGAGTGGGTGTGGGTGTGGGTGTGCCGTCGTACGCACCCAGGATGAGCAGCAGCTCCTGGGCGCGTGGAAACCTGATGTCGGTGACGAGTGTGGTGAGTGGGTGTGGGTGTGGGTGTGCCGCCGTACGCACCCAGGATGAGCAGCAGCTCCAGGGCGAGTGGAAACCTGATGTCGGTGACGAGTGTGGTGAGTGGGTGTGGGTGTGGGTGTGCCGCCGTACGCACCCAGGACGAGCAGCAGCTCCTGGGCGCGTGGAAACATGATGTCGGTGACGAGTGTGGTGAGTGGGTTTGGGTGTGGGTGTGCCGCCGTACGCACCCAGGATGAGCAGCAGCTCCTGGGCGCGTGGAAACATGATGTCGGTGACGAGTGTGGTGAGTGGGTGTGGGTGTGGGTGTGCCGCCGTACGCACCCAGGATGAGCAGCAGCTCCTGGGCGCGTGGAAACCTGATGTCGGTGACGAGTGTGGTGAGTGGGTGTGGGTGTGGGTGTGCCGCCGTACGCACCCAGGATGAGCAGCAGCTCCTGGGCGCGTGGAAACCTGATGTCGGTGACGAGTGTGGTGAGTGGGTGTGGGTGTGCCGCCGTACGCACCCAGGATGAGCAGCGGCTCCTGGGCGCGTGGAAACCTGATGTCGGTGACGAGTGGGTGTGAGTGTGGGTGTGCCGCCGTACGCACCCAGGACGAGCAGCAGCTCCTGGGCGCGTGGAAACATGATGTCGGTGACGAGTGTGTGGTGAGTGGGTTTGGGTGTGGTGGGGTGTGCCGCCGTACGCACCCAGGATGAGCAGCAGCTCCTGGGCGCGTGGAAACATGATGTCGGTGACGAGTATGGTGAGTGGGTGTGGGTGTGGGTGTGCCGCCGTACGCACCCAGGATGAGCAGCAGCTCCTGGGCGCGTGGAAACCTGATGTCGGTGACGAGTGTGGTGAGTGGGTGTGGGTGTGGGTGTGCCGCCGTACGCACCCAGGATGAGCAGCAGCTCCAGGGCGAGTGGAAACCTGATGTCGGTGACGAGTGTGGTGAGTGGGTGTGGGTGTGGGTGTGCCGCCGTACGCACCCAGGATGAGCAGCAGCTCCTGGGCGCGTGGACGATGTCGGTGACGAGTGTGGTGAGTGGGTGTGGGTGTGGGTGTGCCGCCGTACGCACCCAGGATGAGCAGCAGCTCCTGGGCGCGTGGAAACATGATGTCGGTGACGAGTGTGGTGAGTGGGGGTGTGGGTGTGGGTGTGCCGCCGTACGCACCCAGGATGAGCAGCAGCTCCTGGGCGCGTGGAAACCTGATGTCGGTGACGAGTGTGGTGAGTGGGTGTGGGTGTGGGTGTGCCGCCGTACGCACCCAGGATGAGCAGCAGCTCCTGGGCGCGTGGAAACATGATGTCGGTGACGAGTGTGGTGAGTGGGTGTGGGTGTGGGTGTGCCGCCGTACGCACCCAGGATGAGCAGCAGCTCCTGGGCGCGTGGAAACATGATGTCGGTGACGAGTGTGGTGAGTGGGTGTGGGGTGGGTGTGGGTGTGCCGCCGTACGCACCCAGGATGAGCAGCAGCTCCTGGGCGCGTGGAAACCTGATGTCGGTGACGAGTGTGGTGAGTGGGTGTGGGTGTGGGTGTGCCGTCGTACGCACCCAGGATGAGCAGCAGCTCCTGGGCGCGTGGAAACCTGATGTCGGTGACGAGTGTGGTGAGTGGGTGTGGGTGTGGGTGTGCCGTCGTACGCACCCAGGATGAGCAGCAGCTCCTGGGCGCGTGGAAACCTGATGTCGGTGACGAGTGTGGTGAGTGGGTGTGGGTGTGGGTGTGCCGCCGTACGCACCCAGGATGAGCAGCAGCTCCTGGGCGCGTGGAAACATGATGTCGGTGACGAGTGTGGTGAGTGGGTGTGGGTGTGGGTGTGCCGCCGTACGCACCCAGGATGAGCAGCAGCTCCTGCGCGCGGCCCAGCGCGAAGACCGGGATGAGGCACCTGCCGCCGCGCGTCACGATGTCGCTCACCAGCCCCGTGAAGCGGCTCTCGCGCTCCTCGCGCTTCTCGTGGATGTGGGTGCCGTACGTGGACTCCTGCCCATACGACCACACGCTGAACACTACAGATCACCATCGGCATCGGCATCATCCTCCTGCGCTTACCCCACCTGGGCCGTCCACCCTCCTTGGGAAACTGACACCCGAATCCGGAACAACTGTCTGTGGGCCACACTAATACTTGCCCGTGTGAGAATCGAACGCTCGACTCCCGCCGAAGCCAATAGCTTAGCAACGGCGCCACGGAGTCACTGTCACAATTTTGACCAAGCTGTAGAAATTTTGTGTTTTTGCAGATAAATGAACATAAGCTGTCAGCCATCTGCATTCTTTCAGTTTTTTTTTTTTTAAGTTTCTTTACTCTCACTTTCTTTAAGTTTCATCCTGAGTGCAGACACTAGCACCAAAAATGGAAAATAATCCTAAAAATTGTACCTCCATACATTATCATTTATCTATCTGATCTTTGTATGCTTTTTACTGACTTTCGAGTTAATAACTATGCCTTTTCTGAGAAAAATACTTAACTCGCCTCGTAACAGAGTGTAGCGTTTCTCGTTACATTACATACATACCATTTGTGTGTACATTAAGGAATCTTAACAATTATGTATTCTTACTACTACTGGTCGAGAAATAATGATAATGAAATTGGCATCGCAAACACATTATTCTGACATTAGTGCGAAAATCTATTGTAATAGTAAGACTTCAGATTCAAGTGATATTTTTCATATAGATTTCGAATTAATATACAGCGTGTCGTTACCATCGCGACAATAAATGAACACACGTCTAACGCTACTTGCCAATAATCATAAAAAAATATTAACGTTAAACAAAATCCATAATTAAAAGAAAATATTTTTCAAACAAACTAATTATATAAAAAGAAACAAAATTTGTAACATCCTATACAACTCGCGCCACAGCGTCGCATTACAAGCCTCTCCTTCTAACAGTATGTTTTGTCTCTTTTAAGCTCATTCAACCCATTCATATGCTTTGTGACCTTTACAAATGAACTTTACGTTACAGTTTTATACGTAAGGCTGTTCAAAAATTGTTTGTTTTGGAAAATTTAATAACTCGGTAAATATTGATGTTTAAAGAATGTAAATGCTTAATATAATTTAAAAAAGTTATCCTCTATATGTGTGTTCATTTATTGTCGCGGTGGTAACGACACGCTGAATATTTTCAATAATAGTTTATAGTCAGTTATATTTAGTCAGTTTTTTTACCACAGGGGTGATTGTAGTAGGTGAGTAAAATACCCAGACATTGTATTATTTGAAATACTGTCTTTGTTACCAATCAAAATAGTCATGTACCGTTATGAGGACATCTGGATGCACTGTGGGTATCTCGGCGGCCATCAGGTGACGGTCTTCTTGCCTTGAAAAGTCACCGGTGTAGAGGACCTGTCCATATAAAACAGCTGTTAAATTTAAAAGCGGTAAATTATGCTTGCAAAACATGGGTAAGGATTTCTTGTTTTAACTCGAATACTACTTAGGTATTTAACCAAATGAAATCTCAATCTCAATCTAATGTTGAAATGTTCAGAATTATACAATATTGACTTTTGTCACAATAAGAAATGTGGTGCATGCATATTTCTGGACATATTTCTATGCAACTAGTTAATTCACTAGTCTCAAACTAACCGCGGTTTTACTTGTACATCAATCAGTATACAAGTAAAACCAAAGCAAATGAACAGATAGAATAATGAAGGGAAGTTTAATACGGCCGAGGTGACTAAGATGGGACAAAGAGCCGAGCACTGTGATCGGCTGAGTTGACTTATATCACGGGGGGGCTGAGTTTCTCCGAGGGCGACCTTGACGCCGGCGATCTCGATCATGAACATGGCGGCGCCGAGCACGTGGCCCGCGTTGTACGCCCAGAAGCGCACCCCGCGCACGTCCTTCTCCTCGTGGAAGTTGATCGTCTCTATGCGGTCCATCGAGCCCTCCAGGTCCGACTCCGTGTACAGCATCTGCTCCGTCGAGATGTTGCTGGAGACGGAAACGTTTCGCTCGTGCTTTGGTGTGGTGGTGGGGCCAAGCTACAGTGCACAAATGGGCAGGTCCTTTTGGACAAGTACCACGACCTCACAGAAGGACGGCGTGATGTGGAAGTGTTACACTTCTGCGTTTCGTCTGGTGAGTGAGGTGTCAACGCATCTGCAACCATCCGGGTCTTCGAAATGCCCATGGACGGTGGTTATCACTTTACATCAGGTGAACCGCCAGCTTTGCCACTTTTTCACACTATCCAATATAGCCAATATCAGCGATGATTCAACATGACAAACACAATTTTGCCCATGAATTGGATTGATGCTAACATTGGCATCATCCTCTCATCATAATTGATAAAATGGAATTTGATATGACAGTAAATTGAGAGTTATTGCTTTTGCCTAATAACACTACACCGACAATTGCAAGCATAGCAATATTGATGGCCTTATCAAGTGTGTGGATTCTGGCTAGCCCACAAGTTCTGTGTTCAATGAAGATTTAATAGTTTACGGATGGAAAGCAAAACCATTAGTTAATAGAAGATATAATAATAAAACACTTCCCCAATCTAAATATCTCTAAAGAAAAGAGTTAATATAAAGATCATACAAGGATACCTGGTAGTTAGTAAATGGAGATATCATTTGGAAAAATATTTGGAACTGACTTACCTGACTTTAATGTAATCTGATACCAGCCACCTGTAGATGGCCTTTGTGGCATGCGTCATAAACACTCTGCCCTTAAATGACGTCTTTGTCAAGAACCAGGGCAGTGCACCGCTGTGATCCAAGTGAAAACTGAAAATATTTAATGTATTAAATTAATTATATGTTTTTACACATCATTATCAAGTTCCAAACAAAGTTTTTACTAGTTAGTTTGTACTAAGACCTTTTTCCAAGCAGGAACAATATTTAAAATTTTAAATATGTAAATTTTCAGCAGCATGACGTATAAAGTTTTGTTGAGGAAATCCAATCAAATAAGTGTTCAGTCCCTTGGATCCGAAGCAGAAAATGTTTGAAAGTTGAAATTGTGACATTAAACATGAATTATTAGTTCACGAAATATACATCCAAACTCTGAATAGAGAAATTACAGCAAATCAGGCAAATTTACCTTTTCTAATCAGTTGTATTAAATGTTAATATTACAAAAACTAAATGTTAATATTACAGAAACATTAACACTAGTCATGGTTATACCATTTCAACAAGATTATAGACAATTGGTAACAATGGATACTCAGGACTCGCTAACACGATTATTAAAATTATGCCAATGAGCTAAGATTATGAGACTATATCTATACTTATTTCCGTATAAAATTAATATTATATCATGAATACTTACTGTGATATCAAAAGTAAATCCACTTCATCGGCTTCAATGAGATCCACAAATGGTAATGCATCCATTCCAGATAGACCTGGATGGATACCACAGTCCAACTATAACCAAACATTATAAAATTTTTAATAATGTTTATTTACTAGTTGCTGCTTTGGCTTTAATTATCTGCATTATATTTATGAAAATGATGTGAACTCAAAATTAGTAATAAGATTTATGTTATTGCTCCAAATTTATCCAATAGAAACTGTAATGATTCATTATAAAATGAGGTGAGATTAATTTTCATGATTTAATAGGTATTCTGTGACAGATAAAAACTCACAAAATATTGTTGCTTCTAAGAATGGTAATAAATTACACAGAATTACATGATCTTACATACAAAACATGTGAAAATAGTTTTACCATAATCTTTTTTCCTTTGAATTCTAACATAATACATGATCGTCCCACTTCCTGGCCAGCTCCTCTGAAATCAAAACAAATTTTTAAGCTAACATCATTGATAGATCAAATTCATACATTTAAAAATAGCAAATGCATTATACATGACACTGGTGCCAGAGTGGGTACACAAAATCTGTACCATGTATGGTCAATATATTAGCATAAAAATTGTATTTTATAGAATTTGGATGGTATAATTTACTTTCAGTCTAAGCAATTGAAAAATTATTGTACATATTATATATTAATGGAGTATTGTGGATATTTGTAAATCACATATATCCTAATCTGTTGCTTTTTTCTTCAAAAACATCTTAGCATCATCAAAAATTAAAGCAATAAATCCTTAAAACGAATGAAGAGAATGTTGTGTTAACTAGAAACTTAAAATAATATCAAATAAGAAACACATTTTCAAAATATATCAAATATTAAAGTAGGATTTCAAAAAAGCTATATTTACAGGGGTCTTATCGTCAATTGATCGCTTTCTTCCAAAGGGTTAGGGTCAGTACCCTTTCTAGGGTTCGTAGTCATTTTCACTGTTTAGAAGCTAAATCATTTAAAACGAAAAAAAGACGATATTAGCACTTAGGCTTAGTAAACACAAACATTGGCCGCCGGTAGAATGAGGTTATAAGGGATGGGAATGGGATGTCAGGTTGTCAGACTCAGGATCCAGGCAGCTGCCATAGATGCAAAAGTTAAAGTCATCGACTATAAGAAGTTTTTAAAATGTAGCAGTCACTTTCATAGTGACTTTTATAACTTCTTTAGAATGAAAAAGGTCCGCAGGAACACGATCCACGGACTTGAGAAAACATCAAGGAAGTTGGTGCACGAGGATGAACGCTGACGCCATTCAATCCACTGCACTTCCGCGACATCTATAAGCTAGAGATACAACAACGACTAATAGAGGTAGAAGCTACAATCAAAACCCAGATTCCCACTATCAAAGGATATTTGAATTGATCATTATCGTTATGAGAAGATTCTGATCAATTAAGAGAGTTTAACCATCCTTTTGGCAATTCAAATGACATTTGTAAAGCCATTTGACAGGTGAGTACAACTTCTACAATGATCAGTGTTTCAGAAACCGGATAGATTATAGAAGATAGATTCATATATAAATTCATAGAATAGATTCATAGAAGAATGATTCAGATAGCGAAAGGATCAACATGTCGGTTTCCAATCACTTATGTCGTTTTGATTTAGCAAGTCTGCATAAGATTGCTCGCTCGTTACGTAATTGATTCCGTTTGAGCTTTCGTAAATTGACTATTTTTATAAAACTTCATGATCATCAATCATCATCATGATCATTTCAGCCTTTTTGAGTCCACTGCTGAACATGGGCCTCCCCCATTGACTGCCACGAAGTACGATAACGAGACACATGCATCTAAATTTGTATTTTCAGCAAATAATTGATTTCGTATGTTTATTATTTTAGTATGGGATATTAAGTGATCTTCTTCGATTAAATCGCAATTTCTACCTAGTTACTTCCTGTAGACAAGTTCTACCATCGAATACAATCCAATCCATGGTTAAAACCTACATTTGATGAATGCGGTTTTTGGAGGCTCTTGGATGTTGTCTTGCATCCCATGTTAGTCAACGTGTGTACCTTTATTAACAAGAAACGCGGAAATGTAGAAATAGAAGTAAGCGGCACCATTGTGCCGTCATTGTGTACAAACTACGTTATTATTTGTTTCTCATGCGTCGGCCGATCGTGTACCCACGGAACTCTTCTAAAAAAGCTACAAATCCGCTAAACTAAGAGAAAACGAAACATACAAAAAATCCTAATAATTTAACATTTTCTATCTGTAATTAATGCGTTAATGCAGCCACCTCTAATTTTGACAGCAGGCAATGTGTTTATGACAGTTTTGAGTTTGACATATTAATAATGTGGGTCTGGGTTGTGTGTTCTGTCTGTTTACGTATTTTGTAATAAGGTTATGTTATGCCTATATAGTATATACTAATTTTTTAAATTTAAATCATTAAAATGACAAAAAATAAGCTATTCGATGAAGACTCTGAAGAGGAAGTCGCTTTAAAAACCGAAAATGAGTACGCGAAAAAGTATGATTCTTGGCGTGAAAAGGAAGAGAAACACAAGTGTAAGATTTATATTTATTTACTGCTTGCGTTTTTATTATAAATCTGTCGTCAAATATTTCAAAAACTTTTTTTTTCTTTATGTACGTTTTCAGTGGAACAAAAGTACGGCGCTAACGCTCTTAATTCTGACGCTTCAGAAACATCTGATAGCGAGGATGACAGTGATGAACCTTTAGAAGTATCGGAAGAAACAGAAGCGCAGTTCTTGAAGACCTTAGCCTTATTAAAGACGAAAGACCCGCGAATTTATGATCCTGGTTACAAGTTCTTTGATGAAAAGTTGGAAAACAAAAAAGGTTACTAATTATAAGGCATAAAGCATAGAAAATAAAATCCTATAAATATAATTCTATAATGTTTTCACTGCTATGATAAAAAAAATATTTATTATTAATGATAATGTTTACCTTACAGAAAAAGAAAGCAGTGAGAAGAAGGTAGTCTTAACAGACAGTGATGAGGATAGTGAGGATGACAATCCAAATATATTTAAAATAGAGAAGAAAGCAGAGATTAATGATGAAAAACAAGAATTGAATAAGGTAAGAAATAGCTTTTGAATACAAATTTTATGCTTGGACCAGTTTACAAACATTTATAAAATTCATTGGAATACAAAAAAAGTAATTTGAAGTTTCCTGGACTGTCACCAAAATCTGGTCGCCATCATAATCTGGTGAGTCATCAGTTACCACACTACAGGCTGACTTTTTAGATGAAGTACATACTTTGACATAATGTTAATTGAGCATTCCATAATTTAAAAAAAATATATATTTTATTTTGACAAGAAGTATATAACCGGAAAAATATCAATTCAAACATTGTTTGTTTATCCCGTTAAGATTGGCCACCCTATTGATAAGTGGTTTAGTAATTATGCGTTCAGTGAACAGTTTTAGTGCTTGTGAATAGGTTATTGTATAGAGGCGGTAAGGCAGGAATTTCTAATAGGGTGACAATAATATTTAAAAATTAAAAATAATCTTTGAAAAAAAATAAGGTAACAAGTACCACATATCAGATTCAGATTTAGAATAAAATTGTCCGTTGTCTATAAAATCATTTAGCCCAGTTTAAGCCTCTTCACTCTTTATTTTAAGGAATGAGAATAATGAACATATAGAACGGAAAATGTTGGAATTTTTAAGTCCTTTATCAGTTAAGTCAATTATATATAGGTATAACATTTGAACACTTATTGTTTTTTGGATTTAATATTTGAACAATTCTCATGTTCAAATGTTATATGAAATTATAATGTTATATGAACCGGAGTTCAAAGTGAAATTGATGAAGAAAGAGTGAATTTGATTATTGAATATTGATCAATGGCAAAGAATTTTGGCAAAAGTTATTTTGTAATTTTTTTTTAATAATTTTGTTACATGTTTTAACTTACTAAATATTCAAAACAACATTATTTGGCTCTTTGCTTTTGTGTTTAATACACATTTAATATTTCAATTTTAGGATGGTAAACTAAAAGACTACCTCACTGGAAAAGTTGAGCATGTTGATGAAGAGGTAGAGAAGGACCTGGCTCCATTGAAAGCACTTTGGTCGGACCCCCAGCTCAATGAGGGCGAAGCTTTTCTAAGAGACTATATACTCAATAAAAGGTAGGTTCTCAAAAAAACCTTAAAGTGTTCTAAAGTTCATAACCTACAGATTTTGGTATTAGAAGCCTTGAGTTTGATTTTGGCCTAGTTTGTTTTATTTTACACCTGTATAAAAAAAAGATTATGTATTTATTTAATATGTTATCCAATTCACAACATGCTTAATGCTTACAGTGGGATACCTCGAACAGAGATAGGCTGGTTATTGAATCATAACTTAGGTATTGACTTTGAGAGAAATATAAATTTTATCTCAATGTTTATTGTTTTTTGCAATTTTAAGCATTGTCATTTGTGGGGTGAACCATATTCTCCCTTCAATTGCTTCACTCCCTCCTCAGAATATTTAAGGGGTGGACCAGATCTGGTCACACTAGTATCTGATATCACAGAATGTGGAGAGAAATTATTAGAGAACAATAAACTGCTTAAATAGTAGAATATTTTATAAAATAAGAAGAATTTCACCTTAAGAAACGATCTCCTCACATTTTATCCCTAAAGTAGCTTCTGTTAGGCTTCTTCAAAGTACAACCAATGATCAGATGCATGTGTTTGCCAACTACTGTTACATAGTAAGCAGTGACTTACAATTAAGTAGAATAGTACTCAAAATAACCCTAAATAGACAAATAGTCATCATATCCCTTGCGCAAAACCTGCCTATTATATATAACAGGTTTAAGAAATTTATTAAAGAAAACCTTTATAAAAAGGGTTATTATAATACAAATGAATACATTAATGACAATAACCCCTGGGAATGAGTTGATCACTCCCAAGCTATTTCTAAAAGGAAAAAGAATCAGTAGTATAATATGTAAATTTTTTGTTAAGAAAAAAAAATGAATTACAAAAAAGAGGATACCTACGGAGTTTCTTTCGCCTGTTTCTTCTCCGCTAGAGGAACCTCATTACGAAACGGTGGTAGATTTAAAAAAAAAATATATGACTATCGATAAATGAAATATAAGTTTCTTATGTCGATGAATAAATGATTTTGATTTTTGATCGCTTAAAAAATGCCGTTGTCATAAACTGTTCAGGTATTTGGATGAAGGGGATCCCGGGGAAGCAGAGGACAGGATCCGCGATGATGCTGATCTTGCAGCGGACGAGGAGATGGTTGAAGAGCAGGGCAAGTTCGAGCGCGCCTACAACTTCCGCTTCGAGGAACCGGACGATGAATATGTGAGGAAATGTCTATGAGACGCTCAAGAACTAATGTTAAGTACAAAAAACGAAAGAGAGCTGCAAATACCTATCGACATCCGTCTTATGCAAATGTGATCCGTGCACACACCTACCAATGGATTTCAAATTAACATTTCACCAAATAATTCATTAAGCCCTCCCTACTGGATGCCCATTTTTATCAATATTACAGGACTATTCCAAGCTCAAAATGTGTGTGTGTTAAATTGTCGAAATTATTTCTGTGCTGCAAAGATTTGAGCTTGTGTCTTCCGCGTATAAACGTTCTAGCCGACTGAGCTAATCTACCAATGGGTAGAAGCGAATGCGCTCATAGTATGCAAATTAGCAGTAAAAATAAAAAATAATAATAGATTATTCCAAGCATATTTGGTCATACACAAATCTCAAATCCCCCATTCCAGTTGAAACGATTCCCGAGGACTATGAACTACATCAGGCCCAAGGACGACCGCCGCTCGAGGAAGCGCGCGGAGGTTCGCGCGCGGAAAGAGGAGGAGAAGAAGAAGAAGATGGAGGAGATCGCCCGACTGAAAGCGCTCAAGCTGAAGGAGATACAAGAAAAGATCGCCAAGTTGAAAGAGGTCACTGGTAACGACGACCTCGCCTTTAAGGTACAACCCCCACAAAGTTCTATATACTTTTGTTACATGTTGCATCTATATACAATATAAGAATATGTGGTAGGGCTACGCAACAGTCTTCGCTGTTGCACTAATGAGCAGGTCTCATAGAGGACCGGCGTGAAGTAGAAGTGTGCTTCGTCTGGTGAGTGAGGTAACCGGGACCCACTTTATAAAAATCGGCCCCCCTCAGGTGATTTCGATCAGTTTGAGTGTGTAATGGATGATGTTCTATTGATGAAAAAACTATCTTCAAGTAGTAAATCATTAATAGTTTGTGGAGATTTTAATGTGGATTTATTACAAGTAACACAACTCAGTAAACAACTTTTAAATCTATTTAATTCATTTGAACTTAAAAATCTTTTTCATGAACCAACTCGTGTTACTAACTTATCCTTCTCATGTATAGATAATGTATTCTGTCACAATGATGTATATGATAAAGATATATTATAAATCATCTGAGCTCGGATCACTTTGGGCTAAAATTTTCAATAAATGAAAAAGCTAATACAAGCAAATTTAAGATCAAGTGTAGACCAGTCACTACTAATAGAATAAATGCTTTTAGAGATAAAGTGGCACATCATATGTTAAATAAAGATATAGGAGTCAATAACCTTAATGATTCTTATAGATTAATGGTTGACTTTCTCATATCTTCTTATAATGATACTTTTAAATCGCGCACAATTGTTAAGAATTCAAAATTAAAATTTAGTGACTGGACAACAGTGGGTATATATAAAAGTAGGGATTCATTGTATGAATTATATAGTATGAGGCAGTGGAATCACGATCCTAACTTCCATAAACGGGTACAAACGTTTTCAAAAATATTTAAAAAAGTCTGTATTCAGGCAAAATCTATTTATATAAGAAATAGCATAATAAATTCAAACAATAGAACTAAAGCCACATGGGACATCATTACCCGTATATCTGGAAGAACCAAGATATTCACGGCAACCTATAAAACTAGTTATAGGTAATACTCCCATAATATCAGATAACGAAATTGCGAGTAGTTTCGAAAGCTATTTTTCAGACATTGCGGTTAATGTCACACGTACATTAAAATCATCTCCCGCAGACGCAATTAATGTTTTAAGAAATAATGTTACCTCTTGCCTACACACATTTAAATTTAATCACGTAGATACTTATGATATTATAAAAGTTTTGAATTCTATTAATCTTAAAAATACAGAGGATTTATGGGGTATGTCCATAAAATTATTGAGCACTATAATGCCATATATTGCACCACATTTGGCTTCTATTTTTAACAACTGCATAGATTCTGGAATATTTCCAGATCTTTTGAAATTTAGTAAGATAATACCTGTCTGCAAAAGTGGTGATAAAAATGATCCAGGCAACTATAGACCTATTTCCATATTGCCATCTCTTAGTAAAGTTTTTGAAAAGCTAATATTAAATAATATCAACTTTTAGTTCATTTTAATGTGAACAAAATCTTTCATGATGAGCAATATGGATTCACTAAAGGCAGATCGACAACAGATGCGGGCGTCGCACTTGTCAAACATATTTATAACGCCTGGGAAAGGTCACAAGATGCAATAGGTGTCTTTTGTAACCTTTCAAAAGCCTTCGACTGCGTAGACCATAAAACTCTCCTTCAAAAGCTAGAATATTATGGCATTCGTGGCATCACCCTCAATCTCATTGCCTCTTACCTTAGTAATAGAATTCAAAAAGTATCTATAAATGATGTTAATTCCGCTGGGTCCCAGATGAAAATGGGAGTCCCACAAGGGTCAATCTTGGGCCCATTATTATTTTTAGTATATATTAATGATCTCCCCTTTTATGCCAGTGGGTGGTGTGATGTTGTACTGTTTGCTGACGATACATCGCTTATTTTTAAAGTTGACCGAAACGTATTAAATTATGACGACGTGAATAGTGCACTTTCACATATCCTCCACTGGTTCACTATTAATAAAATGGTATTAAATGCCAAAAAAACCAGATGTATTCTTTTCACCCTTCCCAGTATAAGAAGGAAAAGTTTTAGTTTAATATTAAATAACGTACCCATTAATCCAGTTGAGTCTGCTGTATTTCTGGGAATTACAGTAGATTCAAAGCTCCAGTGGAGTCCCCATATATCATCTCTTGCGAATAGGCTGAGCTCCGCGGTTTTTGCGATTAGAAGGGTTTAAGCAGCTAACAGACATCGACACTGCCAGACTTGTTTACTTTAGTTATTTTCACAGCATCTTGTCGTACGGCATTTTGTTGTGGGGTAGTGCATCAGATATAAATTCTATATTTATTCTTCAAAAAAGAGCTGTCCGAGCAATCTACAATATCGGAGCCCGGAATTCACTCAGAGATCTTTTCAAAGAGGTTAATATACTCACTGTTGCTTCTCAATACATTTATTGTAATGTTTTGTATATACGTCATAACCTTAATTATTACCTAAAGAATAGTGACAGACATAAAATAAACACTAGAAATAAGGACAAACTTACTAAGCCATTGTTTCGTCTACAAAAAGTAAATAAGTCTTTCATGGGGCAGGGTGTGCGCATGTATAATAAAATCCCACAGTTGATATTAAGTCTGCCGCTTGACCAATTTAAATGTAAAATTAAAAATAAACTAATGATTAAAGCATATTATACCATTTCGGAATATCTCGACGACGCCAATGTGTGGAGTTGATACTGTTGATACTCACGTAGGCTAGAATAAGACTATTGTACCTGTTTATTATATTGTAAATTGATACTTTTGAAAAAGAGCAACTGTTGAGTTTCTTGCCGGTCTCTTCTCAACAGAAACCGCTTTCCGAACCGGTGGTACCTTACGAACCTATATACATAATATTTGATGTAAAATTTGACGATTCATAAGAGCGCGCAACCGTCTATTTGAATAAATATATTTTTGATTTTGATACTTTTTGATAGGCAATAGGATGTTAATAAATGAAATTAGCTAAAGCGTCACGCCGCGAATGCCGAAGACGTAGGTCGGATTGCCACAGCGGCAAAAATGTTTTCGTACTTTTCCTACAAATTTTAATAAATTGAAATTGAAATTACATCTAACTTAATAAAGGTTGTGCATATTTTTATATAACAAGATTATGTCCCATGGTGTCGTTTCCGATAAAATCTACCATCATTAAGGAGCTTAAGAGTTGCATTATTTCTAGATTTCACTACATACAGTATACTTAACTTGATTTCCAAATGATTTTTGCTACAGATTAAAATCTGCCTACCCCCTAAGCTTTAAGTATGATGGAGTATTTTCCCCCAGGACGAGGACATTGAGGGCGACTTCGACCCTGAGGAGCACGATCGGCGGATGAAGGCGATATTCGACGAGCAGTACTACGGGGAAGCAGACCAGGAGAAGCCAGTCTTCCCGGACCTGGACGAGGAGTTGGAGATCGGTGAGCTGCCATCATATTCCATAGCTAGGGGGAAGAAGATCGGAGAATGTACAGAGAAGAAAGTTGTAAAAATATAATTGGATTATATATAACAATGATACAGCGTGTCGTTACAACCGACTGATTCATGTATTCAGAGACTTTTTCATTTAATCAAAAGAAAATTTTATAACTCGGTAAATATTGATGTTTAAAGAATGTAAATGTTTAATACAATTTTAAAAAGTTATCCTCTATATATGTGTTCATTTATTGTCGCGATGGTAACAACACGCGGTATAACAACTAGTAAAAAAACCGCATCAAGATCCATTTCGTAGTTTCAAAGATCTAAGTATACATAGCAACAGACAGACAGCGGTATAACTTTCTTTTATACTATGTATTGATTTGATATGTGTAATAATGTTGGATTTTGTGAAAATGCCCATGAAAAGTAGTATATTTTGGGAAAAAGCAGATAAAGTGTTGTATGCTAGCTAAAGTTTATATAAGGGTGGCTTTTCTAAAGGTGCCCAAATTCACACAGGAGGTTCAGACTCGGTAGCATAATAAAAACAAACATTTTTTTTTTTTTCAAAACATTACCATTCCAATCCCTAAACAACAGAACTTGTTGACAATGCGGTAGTCATTCATAAATGCGTATATGCATTCATAAATATACTTTTGAAACGAACTTGTTTGCGTTTAGTTATGAATGATCGCGCGTAAAATAAATGAGTTGCCCATAAATCACGCACTTTTTGAGGTAAGTTCAAATGATACACTTAAAAATGTATATGGAAACCAACATAATGTTGTAATGTGCACTTTATAACAGTTTATTTTACACTTATAATGATAATATAATATAATGATATAGTTGATGTCTTTTTAAAGATATTTTGCATTGTTACATTTTGTATGTGATGAGATTGCGGGTACTTTTTTAAATTTCTCCTCTACAAATGGACACTGCCATCATGACTAGATTTCAATTCGTTCATTTTAATTTTACAGAAAATTGGGAGAACTATGAAAACGATCATCGTCAGGACGCAGAAGAGAACGACGAAGGGCCACATTGTGAAGATGAAGATTTTAATGTGTGTGGTAATTTTTTTATGTATAAGAAGTCTTTGGCGCCAGGGGTCGTGGGTTCGATTCCCACACGGAAGTATTTTTGTGATCCACAAATAATTGTCTTGATTACTTAAGTTCATATTCCCTCCCTCTTTGGGAATAAACAAATTCAAATATCTTTATTTAATATAGAAGTACAATTACTTTTTGATTGTCAAAACGGTACCACCGCACCGGTTCAGAAAAGACTCAGGTGTTTATTCCCAAAGAGGGTTGGTGTCAGGCAGACCGGTTGGAAAAAACATAATCAAGTTATCAACATAGTCAAGTTATCACGTGCTCAGCGGTGAAGGAAATTATAGTGAAACCTGCATATTTTCGAAATAACAACAAAATAAAAATCTTTCGAAGATATATGTAAAGTCCACCAATCCCCAGTGGGAGTGGACTAGGCCCTGATACCCTCTGTGCAGAGGAAGCCTTTGCCCAGCTGTGGGACCTTATGGGCTATTACTTAAGTATTTTTTTAATGAACAAAAAGTTTTGCGTTTCTGTGTGTGAAACTGGAAGACGTATTCTTATGTTATTTCATCTTGACTGCTGAGACTAGCGCTAAAAAATAAAAATGAACAATCAAAATAATTAAAGAGCATTTCAGACATCTCTCGTTACAAATATTCATCGTTGAATTATGAATATATTAAATTATTCTGACGACTCGATTTGGCGCAGTCGATAGTGACACCGTCTCTTGCTCCATAGGTTGTGGGTTCGATCCCCACTACTGGAAAAATGTTGTGTGATGAACATTTTGTTTTTATATGTACCCACAAGCTGTGCTTAGCTTGGAAATATATAAATATTCACTTATTAAATTTTAAATGAATTTAATATATCCTGTCAGATGGACGCCGACTACGACCCGCGCAGGGCGCGCCAGAATCTGCTCGAGGAGTTGAGGGGCAACATGGGCAACATGGGCAAGAGGCGCAGGAGCCGCAAGCGGAAGTCGAAGCTGGCCGAGCTGCTGGCCCGCCCCAAGCCGAAGTTCGTCCCCGACGAGGAGCGGAGCTACGCGCGCTTCATGGAGGAGTACTACCAGATGGACTGCGAGGACGTGATCGGCGGGGACCTGCCCACCAGGTTCAAGTACCGCCCGGTGGTGCCCAACAGCTACGGCCTGACCGTGGAGGAGGTGAGGCTGCTCCCCGGGGGAAAGGGACGGAAAACTTTCGGCCCTTACGCCCGGCTTCTGAAACACCGACGATCGTAGATGTCAACTAATCAGCCGTCAAAGAATTGTTGAAATCTTTGAATTGATCATTCTGATCATTAGGAAGATCATTTGATCAATTCAGAGAGCTTAGCCATCCTTTTGGAATTCAAATAACGTTTGAAAAGCCATTTGACAGCTGATTAGATGACATCTACGATGATCAGTGTCTCAGAAACCGGGCGTTAGACTATTAAAGCTTCATCGAACGCGGAACCGGTGGGCTAGCCGGAACCCACGGGTTTGAGGCCCTCCTCGGTGGGTGGGGCCGCGCATGTACTCACGCGTGCGTTAATTATGGCGTGACCCCGATGGCCGTTGACTGTGCTATTACAGAACGGGAACGGCATGTCCCAAGACTTGAGTGCCATTCCCTTACGAGGGAAAGGGACAAACGATCGGACAGTTTACAGAACTACCACGGATTTTATCTTACTACTACTTATTTACTGTACCACGTAATAATAGTAGTTTGCAGTAATAGGGAAAATAAGCCGTTCCTTGTAGATCCTGCTAGCGGACGACCGCGAGCTGACGCAGTGGGTGCCGCTGAAGAGGCTGGTGAAGCACCGGCCGGCGGCCGCCGAGAAGGGCGACGTGGGCACCTTCGCCCTCAAGGCGGCCGACGTCCAGCTCAAGAGGAGGCTCCTGCCCAGCCTCTTCAAGGACCTGCCGCAGTGAGACCGACCGACTCCTTTCAACAGACTGTCGCCGCTGTGGGAATCGAACCCGCGTCTTCGGCATTCGCGGCCTGGCGCTCTAGCCACTGAGCTAAACGGCTGATTGCCACACAGCAATGCTTGGCGCATCCATTGTTATACATATCCATTGCTTTCTACATATTTTAATGTTCAATCGTAACTGCAAAGATTAGCACTGTAAACAATTTAAATTATTAATTCCTTTGATTTTGGCAGCCCATAATGCGCTCACTGCCAACTGCAATGTGAGAAGGTGGCGAACGAGCTGGCGGTTCTCCTGATGTTAAGTGATAACCGCCGCCCGTTGACATTGGCCACATGCGGACGGTTGCAGATGAGTTGCTACCTTTTAATAAAGTGGGCCCCGGCTACCCTTACTCACCACAAGAAACGCAAAAGTATTATATTTCCACTTTACGCCGGTCTTATGTAAGATCGTGCAACAGAGAAGACTGTTGCGTAGCCCTACCACAGTTAAATATATAATAGATATAAAAGGGCTCGCGCACAGTCTCCTAAATAGTGGGTCAATTATTAATTATAAGAAGTATTTGGAGAGATATGGAGGATCAACAAACTAGTAGATAGTGTGAGACATAAGGCATTTCAATGCTAATATGGCAAATATCACTGTCAGAACTAACATTAATTAAAAACACAATACAGATACAAGATACACCAAATCAGATACACAGAGTGCGCTAATCAAACTACACTATGTATAGTCGGAGGCAGTAGAGAAATAAGAATTTCTGTAACACTTTTAAATTCCTATGTAGAGAACCAGAGCTAGTGGTGTCACCTGAAGAAGCTACCCAGAAGAAGAAAAAAAAGAAGAAGAAGAAGAAATCCAAATCCAATGGTGAAACAGAAGATAACGCTATGGGCACAGAAACTCAAGAAAATGGGATAGAAACGAAAGACAAGGACGAGGAAAATGGCGGAACAAACGAAGACGCTACACGTAAAAAGAAAAATCACGGAGATTCGGATGATGCTGTTACGGATAAAAATGACCTTGCTGAAGGAAATAACGTAACAGAAAGCAGCAATGAAAAGAGTAAGAAGAAAAAGAAGAAGAAAAATAAATTTATCGTAGAAACTATAGCAAACGATCAAGAACCGAGTACGCCTGTAAATGATTCGAAAAAGGATAAGATACAGCCGAATAATAATCTTAAAGACAAGAAACAAAATTATACTTTAAAAAGAAAACAAGATTCGAGTACGGAACAAAATGCAGAAACTCCAAGGAAAAAGCGAAAACAGACGGCTGACCAAATGGAAACAGAGACGAAAGTCAAACCATCAAACAAGAAGCAAAAAAATAAAATTAAGAAGAAAAACAAATTCAAGCCTAAACAAGACACTGGGAAATCGGACAATCCTTTAAATAAATTGTCCGATGAGAGGTTGAAGGCATATGGCTTGAACCCCAAGAAATATAGGGGCTTCTTGAAGTACAAGAAGTTTTGATTTATGTATATATGTAATGTAAATTAAAAAAAATATTTTATTAAATCCCTATCTTTTTCAGTTATTATTTTATTAAACGATTCCAACCTTCGCATGCGCTCAGGTCTTTGTTTACTTTTTGTCTGGAGGTAGTACATGTCTTTCTCATCCGTACGTATATTTATTTGCTTTTTAAACTACATAAATTAAAATATTAGGAAAATTTAATACCTACATCTTTTAGTAAGACTTATTATTGTAAAATTTTTGACATCCTGTCTTACTCGCAGAGAGTTAACAAAATATCAGTTATAAAATACCGTCGAATGGTAGTGTTCTTAATGTACTTAAGTTGAATTGTATATTTTTCTTTCCCACGAATACGCTTCCAAGTTTGAATATCTCCCTGGGCATTGAATCAAAACGTGCGTCCGTTGTCAAACTTTTATTTGGTACATTCGGTAAAATGAACCATATCTCAAACGATATAGTTTAAAATGAAAACAACTACAGATATAATTATTTGTTAGGTCTTCGACAGAGATCAGGTACACTCGTGTGAAATTACTCACTCTGTGGCAGAAGTAAAGTACAGCCTATAATTTTCCCACTGCTGGGCAAAGGCCTCTGTACAGAGGGTTTTAGATCATATTTCATTCACCACGCGACCCCACTGCGGATTAAGATATCTCCGAAATAATTTTATTATTTCAAAAACATGCAGGTTTCCCGTTCACGTTTTACTTCACTGCAGAGAGCTTATATCAGCACTTAAAGTTAACTTCTATTGGTGCTGGTTCGACACCGGGATCGAACTGAAGTTGATAGAGTACCTACTATATTGAATTAAAAGAAGAGCCATTACGGCTTTTTGGATTCAGTGGCTCTTCGCTTTACACCAAAATTGGCGGAGATTTAGTCTTATGGCGTAAGTTACTTAGAGACCAGCCCTTTTTCTCCATCATTCATCTTTTTTACATAGTCGTCTTTTTATAGTCCTTTACTCTGATGTAGAAGCTATATTACAGTAGTTTCATTAAAATCCATTCAGTAGTTTTTGTGTGCGAACTTCGCGTAGATATTACAATTTATTACAACAAATATTTCTGTCGGGGAATGAAAAGCTGTGGTAAGTGTGCATGTGCAATTTATTGTCTAATCCTCCTCGTCGTCGTTGGCGGCGCCGCCGGGCTGGCCCTTGCGCAGGTTCTTGCGCTTGACGCGGCCCGGCCTGCCGCCGCCGAACGGGGACTTCAAGGAGAAGTCGATGTGCTTGCCAGAGTCCAGCCGCACCACGAACGACGGGATGTTCACCACCTGCTTTCGCACACTGTCGGACAACAATCCAGTTACAGTTGACTAATATTGTCTTTGAAATTGTCACTGCCACACTCCAACACTTATGTGGCAGTTTATTTAAATTGAATGACATGGTAAATATTGGAAACTTGTAATAACCTAAATATCAAAAATGTTGTAGCATGACATGTGCAGTTGAATTATAATCAATAAAATAAAGGTCAATGCTTTCTTGCTTTAAACATTCAACATTTTTAGGGATGTACATTTTTGCACTCATAAAAATGCATAATAATGTTACACGTAAATTAACAGCCTATAAATGTCCCACAGTTGGGCAAAGGCCTCCTCTATAAAGAGGGTGGCAATAATAATACTACAAAAGAAAAAAATATGTTACCATAATTGAGTACTAAGTGAAAATAAAAAATCTAGGTGATAAATTCCAAGCTACCACGATAGAAGCACATATTTTTTATACATTACCTGTGCAGATTGCTATAAGCAAATAATTTCAAGACATTGAACTCAACTCGGGGCTGAGATTCAAGTGGTCTTTATGAATATCAATCTCAAGACAGGCACTCTGCCCATGCCGCAATTGTTCTCACCTGCATTTCATTACCAATATGAAATTTGTATTCAAGATTTACAATAAATTTCCACAATCCATGTATAGTCCTTAGAGGAATTAATAACTGGACTGAAAGATACTACATTTAAAAAGAATGTATTAAATGATACAAAAAACAGTAACTTAACTGGGAATGTCTGTTAAAGGTTATTAATCAAATTCTTCAAAAATTAAACTTTTGCCAGTCTCAGTTTGAATGAATCGATTAATGAATTTTTTTTGTTTATCATTGTTATCTGAACCTTTATAAAATCTACAGATTTAGCTGTATGAAATACATTATTCAAAAATATTAAAAAAAAAGATTGTCTTACCGAATATGCCTTTGCCTGATCAGAATACGGGCATGATGGATAGATTTGGCCAGTCCAGCCTTGAAGACCTGGGTCTGCAGACGACGCTCCAAAAAGTCCTCAATTTTAAGACCAAGTACATAATCCAACTTCATCTGCTTTTCATCCAGCACACCAATCCTCACCAGACGACGAAGCAGTGCATTACCTGCATAGTATATACCCCAGTTATGTAAAGTAAATCTTTGTCTTTTTTTAAATGTTAATTTAAAAATGTACTTCAGCAAAAAGAATAGTCAACATGGTATATCTGACAAGAGGTTGCCAGAATAATTATCATCATGAAAGGCGATTAATGCCCAGTTTCTGATACACTGACCATCATAGAAATTAATGTGTCAACTGTCAAATGTCTTTTGAGTTGCTAAAAGGATGGTTCAACTCTCTGAATTGATCAGAATGAGAGAATCAGAAACAGGGCGTAAGAGTTGCATATTAACATGTCTTAATTTAAGTTAAGAAAAATTTGGCATGCTGAAATTTCAATCACGCAAAAAATTGGGTCAAACATTCAATATTTCAAATATCAGAGAAGTTTCCTACGACTAGGAAGTAAAATACACATGGTGAAATTGAAACTATCATAACCTTCAAACAGGCGCTTGGGGTCTTTCTCCTCGAGGGTCAGGAGTTCTCTGGCAGCTTTCCGGATGCGGGCGAGTGTGTATTTAACCCTCCACACCTCACGCTTGTTGCGGAGACCATATTCTCCGATGATCTTCAACTCCTGGTCTAGACGCGCCTTTTCGAAAGGTCGTCGTGGCGTTACGTAGGTCTTGGAGAAGACCGACGGCACTCGGTTGTTCACCATGATGGCGAGCTAAAAATTATTAACATATTATTTAAGTAAACTAACTTTTTACATAATCAAGTGTTAGACTTTAGAGTGAACATTTGGAGGTTTGTCGCCGCTAGCCGTTGCAAGCGTACATACTTAAGTAAAGGTCCGAGATCTAAAGCATTACGCTTGGGAATCAAGCATGTGGCAATGATATAGCCTTTTTGTCCAAACATGACGGCTATTGAGATCGCCATGGTCTACTCAAAGGCAAACATTTAGGTTATACGAAATGAATCTGCTTACATCAAGAACATATGCACAGAATCACAGCTAATATTTTCGCATAATAAACATTGCAGTTTCATCAGTTAACAATTTTATTTATTTTGTTAATTATTTATTGATAAGAATATAAAAATATTAAAATCAAAACGTACCGTTCACCTAACAAGCTCGCCAGACGAAAGGAAAAGAATAAAAAAAGACGCTGTGTTAGGGATGCCGAAAAATATCGTTATATCGGATTATCGATATTTTGCAAAAAATATATCGATATTTTGGCCGATATATTTGGAACCGATATATCGATATAAAAAATTGAATATCGAAATCGTATCAAAAACGATATTTTTTTCAAACTGATTAAAGCTGTAAGCCGTAACTAGTATTGTCGCGGATACATAGTTGCATTTTGTACTATAATTATAGTATTTATACCACATTTTGATGCTTCGTACTTTATACTATCCAATTCTTAGGTAAGTACAAATCATTAATATTGAACTACATATTATGTTAATTTATAAATATCATGCAAAATATTAATGGCATCAACTAAGGTTACTTTAATTTAATAAGTAAATAAAGTTAACAAAAATTTAATTATAATTAATTAAATGTAAATATAATTTCGAGTTTTCATAAAAAAAAAATTTGACGACATAAATTCGTTCTGTTGATCTAGGCCTGCCTTTTAGGACTCTGTCTTTTAAGTCTCTGCGGGTTTGTTTTTAGCCCATTATTAACTTCGTTTTAAGCAATTCTTTATGTTTTTTTTAATTAGTTATTTTTTGATTCGATTCAAGGCTAAAGAAACTGATTTATCTTACCAAATAAGCTGTTTGTTTTTTTTCTAATGAAGGTCTTGATAAAAAACATACCTAGAAATTTATATTAATAAAAGAAGTTTGATTAAAATTAATAAATAATGAACGTTTTATTAAAAATTCCCATTCATTTAAATAATGTGAATTTGGTATAAAAATTACTATTAATTATTATTGAATCAGACTGAACTAAATACATTTTTTTCAAAACTGAAAATTTGACTAATATGTCGATATTCTTCTTCGATATATCGAAGCCGATATTGATATTTTTATAAATATCGATATATCGATATTTTTTTCGACTTTCGGCATCCCTACGCAGTGTTGCCGTTATGACAATATTTTGTTTAGTTGTTTAGAGCGACTAAAAAGTGGCCAAGTTTGTAAAAAAATCACTTTCAAAATTCCGCTAAAAGTCGCTAAATATTTTTGGGCTTTTTGGCCTACTATAATATCCTATTAATATTGATAAATAATGTTTTTTTATTATTTTATAAATAGGGATGGGACACTTTTATGTATAGGTTTTAATAAATCAATATATAATAAAAAATATATATTGAAACTGGCCACAATGAAGATTGTGGTTAGCTAGTATCTACGACATAATACCATTAAGATTACTGTTATTGATAATCAAATAAAATCAATTTGAAGGTCTACAATGGTCTACTCGTGGTCATTCTGAAATCTCTTCGTCAATATAATTATGATTAGGCGGATGGTGTTTTAGTTTGTTTTATCGGTTTGACTATTTTTGTAACTTTAGTTAAAATTCTGGTGGCAATACATAGGCTTGTAAAGCTTTTTTATTATTTTTTATTGGTTTCTAATCATTATTACGGAATTTAGTGTTAATGCACACAGTCTGTTAGCCAATTTATTTTGTGTTCATGACAATAAAGATCCTTTCCACTTCCACGTTAAAGTGAGATAGGGTCAATATAGCAAAAGCCAAGTCGACTATTTCTTGGAATGTACTCGTTATTTTTTTATGTGAAAAGTTGTTAAGCGAGCAGATGGTTCACCTGATGTTAAGTGAACTTGCCTTCTCAAGGATTTCTGAAAGGTTTGATCTAGAAGGCATTCTGAGTTGAATTTTTTAAAAACTTAACAATGAGGTCGATGAACCGTTTTCTGACATTAGCAATTCATTGTGGAGATAAATTGCTTTTACTTAGATGTTCTTTTACTTTGTGAGGAAATTTTATCGTGGCCCCTCATGTTATTGTTCTTACGCAGACACATCGTAAAAAGGTCATCAAAGTTTCTAACAGTTTTATTGGATCCATATTTTCACCTTCAAATACCTTTATTCCAATTTGAATGTCGTGGAGAATACTTTTCAAAAAGCATAGGGATATAAGATTACTGTCGACTTTTGACATTTCCCAATGCAGCTTCGACATTTCTCTCTAGGTAAAGAAAAAAACGACCAATTGCGAGTCGGACTCGCGGACGAAGGGTTCCGTACAATTATCTAGCATGTAATTGTATTTGTCCTTACAAATACAACACAGAGGACTATCTTAATTGACGTCATTTATGTATGTATACATGCTTAAATTATCAACTTTTTTAACTTTTTCGCCAAATGTCATCGGGAACCAGCATATAGGTTTACCAAAACCTAAAGGATATTTCCAGTAGACCTCGAATTGTCAATTTTAGTTAGAAGCAAGGTTTTACAGCACAAGTAAAGGGAAAATTACGAAAAATAAAAAAAAGTTTAAACATTAAAGTAAAGTTTTGTAGTTACAAATTTTCGTGAAAATCTAAATTGAACGTGAAAATCTTATGGCGTAACTCAGGACCTTGACTTTTTATACACCTAATACTTAGGAACTATATACCTCAGTATCTGGGATAAATTTCCACCCGTTCTTGAGAAAATCGGTGGTGACACTCGGACAGATAGACGGACAAGAGAGTGATTTTATAAGGGATCCTTTTTTTCTTTTGTTTTCCTTTGAAGTACGGAACTCAAAAATGAAGTTTTAACTCGTCCCATTGTGTCAGCATTCCGACAACAGGATGTTATACAGGGTGGCTTTTCTAAGTGTATCCATTTTTTTATTAAATTCTAGACATAAATAATGGTATATAAAAATTATAAATATTTAAAATCACTCGAAAGTAATTAATTACATTCATTTGCACTTATCTAAAAAGTGCGTCATTTATAATATGCAACTCTTTATTTTACGCGTGATCATTCATAACTAACACGCACACAAGTTCGTGCACAGTAAAATTTAAGTATTTATGAATGACTACCGTCAACACCGTTTGTCAACACGTTCTGTTTTTTAGGGAATAGAATGGCATTTCTTTTTGGAAAAAAAAAAACTTCTCTTGTTTGTTTTTACTTTTTAGAGGTATGGCTGACCACCAGTTGCAAGGAGTGACAGACACATCTAATGAGAATCGACTTTAGTAAATTATACTTTCTTTTCAAAATTTCAATTACGGTTTTACTTCGACCCGTTGTCGGTGCCGATCCCATTCAGATTTTGTATTGGAAGACTATTTGGCATAGTTTTTTTTATTAAAAATATAACTTTACTATACCTCCAGCATCAGCTCTTTCAATACGTTCCAGAGACAGGATGAGACGCCCAAACCCGTGGGTTCTGGCTAGCCTAGCCCACCGGTTCTGCGTCAGATGAAGCTTTAATAGTCTCGGGACTGAAAGCACAAAAATCAATTAAAAAAAAAAAGGATGAGACAATGTAATTTATTTTCAAGATGAAATATCGTATACCTAATTAATCCATGGTATATTGATACGCTAACATTCGTAGACTCATCTACAATAATACCATATTTCTGTTTGCCAATAGCTTGCAGAAGATTCTCCCTAAAATGTGGTGCCATACTAATATAAGTAATGAAAGAGAAAATGTAGTTGAAGCTTGCTATGTAAAGCTGCATCGCAAATAGGCAGGCCACAACCGTGCCTGCGCCTCTCATGTAAGCAGGAATCTGTTTCAATTCCGGCAGTTTCTCATGGAAACCGCGTCCCTGCCCCTAAGGCAAAATCCCCTCTGACTGTAATAATACTATGGACAAGCATAAAGGTCACTAATATTCATTCGGCGTGCTAATAGTCACGTGCGTACCCGATATGTATCTACTTTGCAGATGTGTGTGTAATACTGCACACAGTGATATGGTTCCATCTTTTCATCTCACTTCTATGCACCCTGGGGCCAGGTTCGCTTCTCACTGGATGATCCCAGAGGCGTTGTTGATTCTGTCCCGATATAGTGCTCCAGGGACAATTAAGCTTTTTATTCAATTCTCTGGCCGCTTTTGGTCCCACAGCTCCTGCAAGGTGTCATCTTGCCGTAAGTACATAACACTCCTGCACCCATACCCACCAAAAAGCTTACCAATTTTAGAATTGTTTCGGTGGGTACAATAATGTAAAAAAATACATTAGAAATTTTTATATTCGCATAGGTATTTGAAACTGTCGGCGGCGGGGGATCCAGTTCTTATGCTGCAGCGCTTGTAGTATAATGTTAAGGGTAAATTAAGTATGGAGTTACACTTCTTCTCTTTGTATGTGTTATAATTTGTAAATATTAACGAGTTTAGAATTTATTACTCAAGTAATCAGTTTATGATAATGTAGCCTGACGGCTAGATTCAGAAGGTAAGGTAGGTGGGTTCAGATTCCTTAATTTTTTTAATGATTTATTCGTCGTACTTCCGCTCACAACAGCTAAAGTTTGGTGGTTTCACTGGTCTGACGTAGGGTGAGACGTCCAGGAACTGTTCTTCGCAGATTTTCGAAGCCGTCGGTATCTGGGTGTGCGGGTTCAGTAGTTCGGGTAGATCGGCCGAATTAATCCGGACGGCAGCGCTCGCCTATTAAATAGGGTAGGAGGATCCCCAGCAGGAACAAATTGAATTTAACCGTTCTGAGATTTTAAAAAATTAGTCTCACCTTTCTCAAAAAAAAGAAAAAGGCCACTTATCCTAGTGTAATTTAGTAAGTTTTTTTTTTAAGTGCATACTTTGAAATGTCTGTGCGGAGTGCTGACACTGATATGGCGCAACTCGACGCCACTGCGGATTGGCGGACTTTACATATCTCAGAAATGTTTTTTGTTATTATTTCGAAAATATGCAGGTTTCCTCACCATATTTTCCTTTACCGTTGAGCACGTGAGCACCTTATAGTAAAGTGGGCTACCTCACTCACCAGGCGAAACGCAGAAGTATGACACATCCACTTCACGCCGGTCTTCTGTGTGGCCGTGGTACTTCCCCGGACGGACCTGCCCATTCGTGCAACAGCGAAGACTGTTGCGGGCACATCCGTCAGTGGCCCTACCACCTTAAATAGCATTATTGACGTGAAAACTTCTTTAGCCGCGTTGAGTATTTTTTGTGTGAACAAAAATCGTGGAACTCGCATCACCGCCATAGGGGTACAGGGTAGTTGAAGTAATAAAATAATTAAAACTAATCTTTTATTTACAGTATACATATTATATACAGTATATATATATTGTATTAACTTCTCTGGACTACCCCAAGGTTGATTGATAGATAATGCTGATGGCATTAAGTCCCTGCCCTTGTACATACTTGTTCATAAAGAATAAATAAATAATACATAAGGTCATATTTATTCCCAAATAAATAACCCTGATTGTTAACAATTTTTCATTTTCACACTCTATGAGGAGCTACATTTGAAAAATTAATTTTAGTTCTTAATTTGAAAACTGAATTTTAGTTTGGTCATCCCTCGTTTTTCTCTGTAACTTCTTTGGACGTGTCGATTTCAATGATTTGCTCCAAACATAGTTCTAAAATCTTCTCTAAAGCTTTGGCAGTGGTTTCAGAGGGATACTTTGCTATATCAGGAACGTGAACAAACAGGGTCCGACTATTGTCTACACTAAGTGATGTGTAGTATATGTACTCACAGAGATAACTGAAAATTTATCAAATTTTTATTGTACGTTTAATTTTATAAAAAAAATAATTATACATGTTAAAACTAAATGATGCTTAAATATTCTACCAACATAAAATATGTATAGCATTGTATGTTTATGAAGTTTTAAGAGTATATCAATTAATTTAAAAAATGACGATTGATTGAATGGAATGTATATTTCTTATTTCGATGAATAAACTATTTAATTTGATCGGAATTTATATTGATAGATAGTTTTATTTATTTATTTTGCTACTGAAATAATTTTATATTCACAAAAAAATCCAACAGGTGCACAGTAAAAATTGACTTTGAATTTGTCATGATAACTTTTGTAGTTATATTTTTAAGCAAGTAATAATTTCGTTGTAACAAAAAATTCTAACTTTGGAACTTACCGTCCTGCATCTTTAGATGACACAGCACTGGTATTCTCTGGAGGATTTCCGTCATTGAATTCTTTGCAAATACGCTCTACATTAAGCTTAGTATGCAATCTTATTGCTCCTTCAGCTGTGCAAACATGGTTAGCTGGACACTTGTCAAAATAATCCATACGCTGATAGCCCTTTCTATGAGCTTGGGTCTCTAATGTCATGCAGGCAGCTTCACCAGATACACCTACATGGATCATGAGCTAAAAGTTGATAATTTCATACATATTAAAAATTATTTAACAATAAACACATAAATTATACATACTAAACTATATAAAATTTAATTTTTTTCACTCCAAATTACCAAAAATCTGCTGTTGTAATGTTTATAACTTAAATTTAAATAAAGAATTTAAAATAAATAGCGTTAATACGATAGTTACCTTAGGTGTGTGGGTTTCCCATAGAGCCGGCACAAATTCATCTACGTTCTCATAAGTCACAGGGATTTCCAGTAGCACCAGTTCAATATTATGTTTTTTCTCCAACTCCTCTTTACTCATACGTTTCACTGCTTCCCAACTCGCGTTTATTGGATGATTTAAAAAAGGACCAAACCCGGTGACCAGGACTAAAGGTTTATTTAAAAAATCCAAGTCACCCGCCATTATAACAACCTTTTGTGATCAAATAAGTAAATACTACTTATAAATACTGATATTGTACGATCACGAAGCTATCTAACGGCTTCTGAGCCGAACATATCAGTTGTTTTGACGTTATGAGATAAAGGCATTGTTGTGACATTGACAACAGTCAGCTGATTAATGCCTTTATGTTGTTACACATGAGAGACGTCATGAAGAAAAGTCCAGGGAGAGTAAGCTACCTCTTTATTGAGTTTATGGATTGTTATTTTCACATAATTATATTTTATTCGTCGCTTATTTAATTTATGATGTAACATTTAATTTTAGGTAAATAATATGATTTTTTATATAAATATCTAAGAATAAAGAACAAACGAATAAGAATGATTTTAAATATAAAAATCTTAAACAGATAGATAAATAACATCTGAAAGGGAAACAAATTTTTATTGTGAGTGTGGTTCTGGTTTTGCTGCTAATGAAGTGAATTTGCGGTTTTGACAGCTTCGTTGGAATAGAACACGGCACGAAACAAGTGTTGTGTGACGCAACCTAAGAGCCCTTAGGATGGAGGTTTGAACTTCTGCTTGGACCGCCATCGTTAGAAAAATTGAAACCTATCCAGAGGAAGGTTGAGATCTTGAAATTGCCATTTTATTACGAGAAACACAAAAGGAAACCCCACGAGACTGTCTCTTTACTAGTGGGCAGAGTGAAGAATGTGCCCCGTGAGGCGGAACACTTGAAGAATTCTCGAGTCCTAAACAATTTGGTTTGGTAGATTATCGATAATGAGATTTAATGATTAAATGCATTTTTCGTCGCTTAGGATTTATTTGCGTGATAGAGTTCTCAATTCAGATATCCGTAAATGTCAAAGCTCTGAAGATTGGTAAGCAGATGTGATAATCGGCTGGCTTTAAAGGTTGTGTATCGATTACCGATGAGGATTAATCAGTTATATCTCTATCAACAAACATATTTATATTTCATTTAAACATCTGTAATTCAACGAAACTATTAGCTTATCATAATAAGAAGTTACATATAAAATTAGGTATATATTATGTAATTTTATTAGTATAATTAACTGTTTTATTATCGGTTCCTAAAATGACTTAAAAAAAGTTTGAAAGTTTAATAAGAGTTACTTTGTTACCATTTGTTAGTTTAGTATCTATATATATCTATAGTAGAAGTATATATATATATATATATATATATATATACGACGGGTGATCCAAAAGTAATGATAATGATAATAAAACACGGTAATTAAAGTTAAAATAATAATTTATTTTTCTACATAGTCTCCTAACAAATCAATACATTTAGTCCATCTATTTTTTCTAAACCCAGGATTCCCTTTGAAAAAAATTCTTTGTCTTGACCCTCCCAAAACGCTTCAACAGTGGCCATTACTTCGCTATCGTCTTCGAATTTCTTGCCTCGGAGGCGTTCCTTGTGCCGAGGAAAGAGGTAGAAGTCACTAGGAGCTACATCTGGAGAATAGGGAAGTTGTTCGAGCAGTTCGAATCCCGTTTCTTGAATGGCAGCCATCGCAACTGCGGCTTTGTGAGCCGGTGCGTTGTCTTGGTGAAACAGCACTCCAGCTCGCAGTTTACCGCGTCTTTTTTCTTTAATGGCCTCCCGTAATCTTCTTATTTGGTCTGCGTAGTAAGAGCACGTAATAGTGGCTCCCTTTTCCAAATATTCCACCATAATTATGCCTTGAGCGTCCCAAAAAACAGATGCCATAACCTTTCACGCCGAACTTGAAACTTTGAATTTATTTGGCGTCGGTGAGGAGGCTCGCTTCCAAGTCATCGATTGTTGTTTCGTTTCAGGATCAAAATGGTGGATCTAGGTCTCGTCCATAGTCACAAAACGGAACAAAAAATTTTCTTGATCTGCTTGGAACTTTTCGAGATTGAACCTCGAAATGTCAACTCGATTTTTCTTTTGCTCGTCGGTTAACATTCTGGGTACCAGACGCGCCGAGACCTTTTTCATATGCAACTCGTTCGCAAGGATTCTTTGAACGCTGCCATATGAGATCTCTGTGACCTCAGCTACATGCCTGATGGTCACTCTTCGATCTGCCAACACAACATCTTCGACTTTTTTCACGTTGTCTTCAGTGAGGGACGTGGATGGACGTCCTTCGCGATGTTCATCTTTAGTGGATGTTCTGCCCAGTTTAAACTCCTTGGCCCAGCGTGCAACTGTAGAATATGGAGGAGCAGAGTCTCCCAATGTTTCCACTAAGTCACTGTGTATGTCTTTTGAAGACATTTTTTTCGAAAGAGGTACTTGATGACTGCTCTAATTTCGTTTTTCTCCATGTTGATGTTATTTCTTTGACAGTTCGTATTCAAATGAATGTATCTCCCGGAAATCGTGATCTATTTATATGATTTTTTTAGGCTGCCGTAGTGAGTATATAAGCAAAAAATATTTTTTTGGATTTTTATGCGGACCTGAAGTAACCGATTATCATTACCCCTCATATATATATATATATATATATATATATATAGGCTTAGGTCAAACGCATCAGGAGGTCAGGAAAAAGAAGATGGTGTGCAAAAGCTACCTTCTTTTCTTTTCCCCCCCTTTTTTATATGTTTTTCTTATATGGTTATATGTAGTTTAGTTAGTATTAAATTTTATATTGTTATTTCTGTCGTTAAAATGATTTTAAGTTGTTTTTTTTTACCTATAATTGACATATTTATGCAATATTTAGTTGGATTTGCTAATCTATATATATTTTTATATGTGTTTTGCTGCTTGGCTACTAAAGGAAAAAGTAAGAAAAGCTACGAATATTGTCGCTTTGCAGATGCAAGTGTTAGCGTACGGGATGCCCAGTGTGAGACGCTTTCAAGCGGAGGGTCATGGACTAAGCTTTATACCAGATGAGTGGCAGAGGCAAGGCAAGGTTAAGAATATTCGAGAGGTCGCTGCCATACTGGTCGCACGTAGAAATGCAAGCCAGTTGACCACTCTTACTAGACCTCCCCTCTGGTGCTTGAAAAAGAAATATGATGGTTCTTCGGGGATGGTAACCATTATATGCGGTCAATTGTTTTACGTTAAATGTTCTTATTGGGAGACTTGAAGTAGAACATTAGATAAACCCTGCGAAAAAAAAGGGAAAAATAATCCTTTTCAGCATCATTGCTTTAAATAAAACAATTTATTGGTTAAATAGAGATATATTTTGAATGATTGCAAGAACATTTGTCTGTATAATTCTATTATATTAAACATTATGCTTATTATAAAGATTATCACTTACTATAAGATACAAAGATTATAATCTAAAAAAATACAAAAAAATACATTAGTAATAAAATATGATTGTAAAAAATAACACCCTAAAAATGAAATTAAGAAAGTACACGGATATTTTCTTTATGTGTTTTATAAATTTTATCAGCCTGAACACTTGGATATTATATCATTTTATCATATTCTCACGAGATAAACTGATAAAACATACAATATACTTATTTAATATTGAGATTTAAAAATTCATGTAAGACTGTTTGATACCAAATCGAATTACAGTTTTCTGATAAAAAAAAATAACGATTGGCTCATTGGGCAGAGGTTTAATATCACAGTCGCTTTCGTATGGTTTTACAGACGGGTAATGCGATTAGTATTTCAACGACAATGATATAAATAATTATTAAAAATAATCGTATAAGTTATATTCAGAGCAAATCTACTATTACCATCGCAACGTACCATTAATAAAAAAATATAGAGAGGTGCAACGATAGCAGCTTGCATAGTAGTTATATCGGACTATATTTAAAAATTTTCCTCACTACTGAATCTTTCAGCTTCCTGACACATTAGATGTTGCAGATTATGGTTAAAGACATTTTCGAGGCAATTATGTTACACTTTTCAAGTGGCTCTGCTGGCGGCATTAAAGGCATAAAAAGAAAGAACGTGAAAGATCTTGTAAACGCTTCCGTCGTTTAACTAGGCTGGTAGAGCGCTTCTTAGTGATATAAAAACTGCCCTACCTAATCACCTAATGCATTCCGACAAGGCAAATATTTTAAATCTTTGTACACGGTGAAACTATGTGATTACAGCTGAATGTTTTTTATTTAGTTTTTATTTTTAATAATACATTATTTATTCTGAAAGTTGTAGAAAAAATGGACGAAAAGTTTTTCGCCTCTGCGGAAATCGAAATCACGTCTTCCGGTTTAGCACCCAAACGTATTTAAACACTAAACCAAATGGCTGATTTCCACACCGGCAGAAATCTCAACGTATTTTTATATACATAATTTTTCGCATTAAGAAATCCTTGGCGCAACTATTGTTGTCTCCAAAATTTTTTTCTTACTAGCAGTGCATACACTTTGCATTTGCATTTTCAGCTACATTTATTTAATTAATCCTCCCTTATTCCGTAATAAATCATACTAAATGGATACAAATTAAATAAATAAGCTAAACAGCGTCCAACTTTTGTAGTAGAAGAATGTTTTAAGCTGTGAGTATTATCGAATTACAATACACCGAGTTTTATGAAGTCATTGATCACTCCGTTCAATCTCTTTGCGGCCAGTTCGTTGGGTTTGATGATGAAGTCTTCCAGGCGAGTGGATTCTCTCATGTCTGGCGCGTTCTCCGCTTCCACTGTCAACACCGGCATCATCATTATGCCGATCAGGAGACCGTACGACCGAACCTGAAACAAACCATCATAATATTCATTTCAACAACAAGGAGGACATTTTTAAATTGTGAATTTTCGCAGATTAATGAACAAAAACTTTCGGTGCTGCGGGATTCGAACCTGAGAAATTCGAACTAAGCTAAGCGGTCGATGACCTCACGGCACGACAATTTTGATATCTATCTACCTTCATAATATTGCATTTTTATCAATGCTTGGCGCGATCTAGTACGCATACTTTACATAATAGAACACCTTATAAATAACTTTTAATGATGAATATTTGAAACGAGTGACGTAGCCATTGCTCTTGAAAAGTTTTCAAGATTAATTATCGAAGAGGATATTTTATTGTTTCCAGTGTTTGCCATGTTGAATCCAAAGATGTTGTAATAAGGATGACTCAAGTCCATACAGCGCGGATTTTAAAAATTGTTTCGCCTTTCACCATTACGTAACAAAATATATATGGGAAAGTCATAACCATCAACCACTGGCTCTTATTTCGTTCACAACATGTGAATCATGTTGTAAACGGTTTTGGCTATGTTTTTACTACAGGCCGTCTGGCTGATGACTGTCGTCAACTCTGCTTGTGAGATAAACACCAAGATCCCTACCAATAATTATATTATCTGTGGGTTACAAAGAATACTAGTCCTAATATATAAGTGGATGTGACAGATGATATAGAAGGTATGATACAGGAAGAGATAGCAGACCAATCAATTACAACAATTGCCATTATTTGAGTGCCTCAGTTTCGGCGCGATTGTGTCATATTTACATCGTATATAATATCATTGGTTGAAGCTCCATTTAAGATCTGAATTTAACATTTCGTAGCTTTTATTATCGCATTTAATTTGTTCAAAACTCAAATTCGGTACATGCCAGTTGTACAATATTGGGCAGTGTTTCAAAATAAAAATAAATAAAATAGAATGTGTTGTTTATAATTTTGAACATGGGTGTGGCTCTCAATTAAAGTAAATGAACATCAAATAAGTAAAATGGGCAAAAAATTAAAAGAATGGAATCTAATATTCAACTAACGTTTTGTAGAAATCATTAAGCTTATATCAGAATATCATCCAGAGTATATTGCCAGTTATCTAAACCCACTTAAAAGGAATACATGAATACTATTAAGTAGTAATTGTATGCATCACTCATATAATTATCAACTACGCGATAACAATTAATACCATAGATATGGTCTATTTGTGATGCTATTGGTATATAACACCTAAAACATTTCTCTTTTTTAGACTTGTATGGTGTATTATTAGGTTAGGCTTTTTGATTAATAAATAAAATGTCTTAGTCTCCGGTTAAAAATAAACTTTCCTTTATATTCGTTCACTCATGTATTATAATGTTCTAGCTAGAACTGAATTCAGTGCGAAAATGGATTTTAGTCATATTTGTTATATACTATCGACATTAAATGACCGTAGACAAAAATCTAAACAACATAAAAACGTAGCTTAATTTTCATTTAATAAACAAATTAGTAAGCATTGCATTTTCAGAAGTCGTCATAAACAAAGAGGAGAGGATCGAGAAGCTTTTGTTCTTAAACTGAAATCAGGCAGGTCCGTCCGGGTAAGTACCACGACCTCACAGAAGACCGGTGTTTCGTCTGGCGAGTGAGGTAGCCGCGGCCCCCGTTAAGGCTCGTAAGGTAGCAACGCATCTGCAACCCTACGAATGATGCACATGTCGTTGGGCGGTGGTGGAACCGCCCTTGCTACCTTTCTTGCTACCTTTACCTTACCTACCTTCTACCTTGTTTGCTACCTTTTCACATAAAATAGCAAGCTCACCTCCTTTATTTCATATTTGAAGTCTTCTCTCGAGTACGTGCTATCAGCATCAACACCTAGCCTTGCGAGGGCGTTGCACAACTCCTTATAGTAATGATCCAGGAGTTGGTGGTAGTGCTTCGCCCGGAACTCCTCGTCGGATCCGCTGAAGATGAAGTAGAACAAATCGCAGATCGGGTTCGACACACGCAGCGTCTGATAATCCTGGGCGACGACTTCCACTCCACCATTCTGGAAGAGAAGGAACCTGGTTGTTACGCGAATAATTTGTCCTCTATTGGTACTATAATTGGTCCCGTACAGAACATAGCAGTTCAATAACATAACATACGGGCTTACGGCCTATGGTAACTATGGTGTAGTAGTAACTATGGTGGAGTCATACCGCACCTTCTGCTGAATAGACATTGTCTATGTTGAATAATTATATTTTAATTTTCTTATGTGATCTTCTCTACATGTATAAAATATATATTTTTAGTCCCAATCACTTTATCATCAACTAGTCCGTTAAAATACTACTTAAATAATGTAAATCCGCTTTTCGCTATAATTTTAGATCATAAGATATAACAAAGAGCTGTGGATTTTGTGTGAAATAAAAATAAAAATACACTCAATGAACCGGGACTATACCACGTCCAAATGAAGACGGAATTTATACTTCCACATTGCGTACTATTTGTAACGAGTGAAGCAGCCGGCTTGGGCGGCCGTAATCTCTCACCACCAGGAACCGTTTATTAGCTTGCTTAGTCTGTGGTAGGAGTACCCAGCGGCATCTGCTGTTGCACGAATGGGCAGACTCGTCCCGATAGTTACACTCACCAAAGACCGGCTAGAATTGTAAGTTTTATACTTTCGCGTTTCGTCTGGTAAGTGAGGTAACCGAGGGTAACTTTTTATCGAATTCCGTACCGAACTTCGCTGGCCCGTATGTGGCCCGCTTAAGATAACCTACTACGTGATATAAAAAAATGATAAAATATGGACGACGGATATTATGTCTCAACATAACAAAGAATTACTCTCTAAGTCTATTGTGTAAGCATCAGTGGCTTTGTAATCCATTTTCCCGTCAGTATTCTTACGTACCAAACATTTCCAACTTTCATTCTAAGCTTTTAAAATACTCTAAGTAATAAACTTATTGTGAGTAGAATCATTTCCAAAGATGGTCAGTAAGGGGTCATTTCTAAGATTCTAGAATAGTACAAGTTATGGCCAGAGCCAGAGGCCCATACATAAATGAACCATCCCCTTTCGTAAAATCAAAGGCCAAATCAACTAGGTATGGCCTCTAAATGAAATTGCCAAATTTGAGTGTTGTGAGGAGACAAATGGACTAATTTGCCATCAAAAAATGTAGAAAAATTGGTCTCCTTGCACCATAGCCTCCTATTTGCTCTTTAATTCTATTTTGATTGCGATATTCAGTCCATAAACATACATAACGACTTTAATTATTACAAAAAAAACTAAATCAACATTTTCGTTTTACTATTCACTTATCGAGTATTAGGCAGTTCATAAATATTCGTTACTCGGTTGAATAGCATAGAAGTAGACGAAAATTCATTGTTCTAATTACGACTAGTAATAATACAGGGTTTAAACACTTAATTTGTGCTCGATTAAACACCGACTTTACTATAGCAAACATTGTAATCTACTTACAAGGATTATAAGATAATCACTTGTAGTGTCTTTGTCTACATTAATTGTTTTCTAGAGTAAACAGTTTATAAAGTGGGTTCTTGAATGTGATTTGTAACGGATGGTATTAATAATATTTAAAAATGGAACAGTAACCACACTATTTATAAACTGTAAACGCACATCCTTTTCTAAGCCTTACAAAACAAATTGTGTAAAAATTACATTTAATTAAATTCTCTGATTTAATGGCATTTGTACATTTTTTTTATCGAAATTCAATATTAATAGATTAGAGTATGGAATATTATGGCTAATAGTAAATAACCTTTACATGCATTGTTTAAAAAGCGACGTTTAAATACTTCGGATATATATTCATGAACAATCTGATGTGAAATTGATTGATATATTAAAAATAAAAAACTTTTTCAGCTCTTCAATAAACAACAACAGATAGTATAAAGATAAAACGCATCAATAAACTGAAATTGAAAAGAAAAGAAGGTCTTTGTAAGGATATACAGAAAAAAAATATTATTTGCCATTACGAAGCAAAGCCCATTGGAAATTGTCAAACATCACAAACTCTTGGTCTTTTTAAATACATCATTTCTTGACATCTTTAAAATATTCCTCGGTAATGCTTAACGGCAATTATAAAATGTACCAAACGCTTGCGACCTTGACTATGTTCAAATTTTATTCCAAACCGGATGTTTGGCTGTCATGCTTTATTATCTCAGTTAAAAGTTGTATATCGATGCCATGGGCGTTTTATATTACAACTTTTTACTGCAACCCAGTAACAGCAGCTTATTTATATAATAACACGTTATTATTACTATTTTCATACTTAGAATTATTATATACTTATGCATTTTCGTAATCTTTACATGTTTAAAAATACAAACAATGTACAATTTGGATAAGATATACAACAGGAATTTAATTGATGATAGCACCCATCTAACTATACTCTATTACTAAAATTAAACATGGCGATGATATCATTCAAACAATCAGGACGTGATATAAACGGGATACAAATGTAACGATCCAATTGTAACAACTGTTATTCGTAGAGTCGTAGAGCCGGTTGCGAAACTAATGTTTGTACTGAATTAATATATTTTCAATTAAAAACACTGTACAAAAGTAAAGAATATATACTTTTACTTAAATTTAAATTCACACCGAACAATATTTTGTATGATATGGCACTAAACACGATGTTATTAACTAAATTATTATTTTGCAATCAGTTCGTGTTTGTACAAAAAATTAAATCATTTAGATATCTAAAAGTATTTTAAGTTGCAAATTTTATTGCATTAATTATTCACATATATCGCAAAACAACAAATTACTAGATAATGCAATTTTTTCATCTTATCATAATATAATTTTTTTAAGTTTTCCGAAAATGTGTGAAACGTCGAGGGTCGATGCCATTGATTGTTATACTATATATAAAAAAAAAAAAATTGGTTCTATTTTAAACAAGGACCGTGACGTTCACTACACGTACCTTTAAATTATAACAAAATATTCGTTTTACCCAAAAAAGATTCGAAATCATACCATTGTTGATTTGGTCAGAAAAATCGCAAATGTCGATATTACTCATGTTAGTTATTGTTTTTACAATTTATATATTGTTTTAATGTAAAAGTCAAAATCGAAAAACTCGATGAAGCTCTTTTTAAACAATTTGCTAAAAATCTGAATCAATATCTTATCTAAATCTAGTATCTTTAATAATTTTCTTCTGTCTTACCTCAAGGTTCTTATGCATCAAGTTGCTCGGTCTGAAGTCACCGTGGGCAATGACGGGCATCCGCCTCACTTTGAAGTAATGATCGGCTTTCATGTCCTCCAAACTGTTCAGGTAGGACTGCAGTCGAGCCTTGTTCTCTTCTTTAACCACAACGAAAATGGATTCGGCCATGCCCTTCATCATCTGCTTCATCTGTTCCATGTCCATGCTTATCTTTAGTGTCTCCGAAATCTTGTCAACCTCTTCAGGCTCCTCGGTGAATAGCGCAATAGACAACGCGTGCAATTTAGCCATCTCCCGTACGGACTTCGCCGCGTACTCCCATTCGTAGCTCTTCAGCCTGTCATGCGTCTCGAATCCTTTGGACGACAGATCCTCCAGCACGAGCACCTCATTCAGGTACTCCTCGCAACTGCCGTAGTACTTCGCTGTGGCCAGCCTATGTTGGTGGGGTACGTTGTGCCGCTCCTCCAACTGCTGGTATTTCCTAAGCAGTTGGGTGTAGAAGAACGTCTCTGTTTCGTATATTCTAAATGGCATTTGAGCGCGTACGCTTTCGCTGACGCAGGCGACCTTGGCGAACAGCCTGAGGTCGTCCTTGCCGGGCGCTGACAGCTTGATGTGGTACAGTTGGGACGTATAGTTGGCACCGCCCGTCGAGAACTGCTCTAGTGTTGTGTATTCATCGCAGTAGCCGTACTCCTTTGATATCGTCTGCAGAACACCGCGCAGTGCTCGCTCCGCGTCCGACATATTGCGGTACTGAGAACGCACTGGGCTTGACGGAGGCTCGAGACGAAAGACGAATGCGACCGTATTTATGTCGACTACAGGAAAGCACGAGGTCGCTACTGCTCGTATATTTATAAAGCGAATGAACGGCGATAATACTTTGTTTACATCGATGTAACGTAGATGAATCGTTTTCGTTTTGTGATATTTTGAATACGTTTCATCGCCTAAAACGCCTTCTATTTTCCATTAAATCTCGTGGTGTGAAAACGATTATAAATGATTAGCTATATTGAATCCGGTTTGTAAAGGTTACTAATTTTACGACGTCACTCATTTGAACAATTCTAAACATAGTCTTTCTTCATTTATTCTAAGTTATATTATATTTACGACCGTCTAAAGTCAACAGTGCTCACTGTGTTGTTGTTTTTTTGTTATGTATTTAAAAGAAAAATCTTTATTAACAAAGTATAGTCTATGCTAATATTTTAAAATTCTGCCTGCCAACAAACCTTGCTTTTTTAATATATGATTAGTTTGCGGCTTAATTATAGAACATCGCAAAATAGATAAACGTCTATTGTGTGTCATTCTCAAGGACGGGCCGGTTATTATGGTTATGTCATCCGTAATCATCTTTGTCATGTCATCTTTTGTAATTGTTAGAATTACAAAAGTAGTGAGCTGATGTTGAGTTGAAATGACGTGATACGAATGTTTTGGTTTACTTGAATTATTTATTGAATTAGTTAGCATTGTTAATTTTGTACCATTTGTAGTCAGCGATGCTTCTTAGTTGGTGCAACTGGTATTCTTATACAACCTACAACTATCACGTCAAGGTCAAAGGCTTGGAGGATGACGCTTTTTGTTTATTAATTAATGTTGGGCTGCCTGGTGAGTGGGGTAGCCAGGGCCTACTTTATTTAAAGGTGGCAACGCTTCGGCAACCCTACGGGTGTTTCAAAGGTCCATGGGCGGCGGTTATCACTTAACATCAGGTGAACCTGCCACTTTGTCACATAAAAAAATGACATAATTTTCAAGCGTAGTTGCACTGGTAGGGGATTCGATTTCTATTATAATTTTTTATGATAATTGTTTTATCAACGTATAACTTGTGCACGTTCAATGGTTCTATAAAATAGCTCAATTTCATTTACCGTAGGGACCCGACATTAGGATTTTATTAACTGTCAAGTGTATGGAAAGTAGCAGTTACTCTATAGTAACAGTCAAATATTTTTAGACTGTTCGGAAATGTATAATATCTTAATATAACAATTTCTTGCATTTACGCGATTACACATTATAAATGAAACTAATTTTACGGATTTATTGCGTTTATTTTTGATTTTAATTCCCGACGTTTCGAACCCTTTACAGCGTTCATGGCCAGTCTGTCCCGTGACGTGTCTTAATATCATTAAATATTTT